ACAGGGTTCGCACAGTGGCATTTGCGGTAACCTGCATACACACAGTCCGCTCTTAATGGCCCTGTCAGGTCACACTTTGTTGGCCAAGTCGTTCACGCTGAATGCCAGCATTCAACAAAATAGCTATGACCTTTTATCACCGAACGTCACTGCCCGTCAGGCCATTACTATTACCAATCAAGACGCTATTAGGGCTTCGACGCGACCGGCTGTTAAGCGATGCTTTTCGTGAGCAGAACCGGGGGCTCAAAGCGCAAATCTACGACATCAAGAGCATTTGAGAACTTGCCTCCTAGCCAATAAGAATTACTTCTATTAGCTTCACCGGTAGTTCGTGTTTTTGAAGAGGCTCACGGTGGCCTTGTCATACTGGGGTCATCCAATTGACCCTAGTAACTTACGCAACTCATTGTGACACCCAGAGCCGAGACCCCCAAAAATAACAAGACGAAAGCGAAAAGAAAAAAAGAGGGAAAGGCAGAAGAAACGGAAACGAAAACTGACAGAGAACGGTACCTGGGTTGTGCCCGAGTGCCCTCCCTGTCAACAGCACAATTGATGTTACTCTACCCCGGCCTTGGTCCCGCCTCTTGTGCTCACGTACGCGAAGATCAGTCTTGATAAGCAAGCTCTGTACCCCAAGTATACGGTGGGCGGCCTTGTCGACAGCAATTGCAGTCGTCTCTCGGTGCTGACAACGTTGAAATGAAAACACCAAGTCATTTCCAAAGGTCCCTATCCGCAGTTTTCAGGTCAATGCTTCCGAGAGACGGAAACAACGGTCATTTTGATTCTGTACAACACTCTCCGACTCCGTACGGCGTATCGATTGGCTCCATTGTGCATGGCGCTTGCTTGAGGATTTTGGTGGCGAATGCAGATTCTTCGTAACCTGACAAGGGCTGTCAGTGTTGCGCTCGACCGTCTAACGTGAGATAAAGCGTCACATCGTGCAAAATGAGGGCTCTTAGGGGCACCAAGACGGATCGCCCAGGAGGACTTTACGTGGAGAACACGTTCGCCGGAAGCACCCCAGAAGTTTGCTGTATTCCGTCAACAATGGCGATAACACTGATTGAGGGATCACAACCGATGACAGGGGAAAAGTGAGGTCAGATGAGCCTGCTATGCCCCTCCGAAATCGACTTGCTAAGGATGCATTTAGCGACTGGGCAGTTGATGGATGGAATCAACTTAGCGACGTTCTTTAGCGGTGTCTCACCAATGTATTCACACGATGATAAACCTCACGGGTCTTGGTTCCCTCGGTATCCGACACTGTATGTGTTTTTTTCTTTAAAAAATTTTTTAAGCGTTTCCCCTGAGTCTGACAGGTACGCATACACACAATCACACTCTCACACACACACCTCTCAGGAGATTGTATGCCGTACGACGTTATCTTTCACATCAGCAGAATGCACCCCAAAAATCCACCCGCTCCTGCAACACGAGTGACGCAGAGATGCAGAAAAGCTTTGACATCCTAGTGTGCCTGTCGCAAAATCGTGAGCACAAAAAGTGACAAAACTGCACGAAATAGGATTTGGCTTGTGTAAGAATGACTATCATCCACACTCGGGCAGAAAGAAACCAAAAAAGGGGGTCGAGCGCCGCGCTAACGTCTCATTGTGTTCCTTTCGTCGCGCTCGCCTTCTTACCTTTTCTACCGTTTCCTTTTTTCGTCCTCCCCCGGCTTTATTAGCCGTCTCGTCTCATCGCGCAAGAGGGGTCCGGAGAAAAAAAATAGGCAGAAAATGATGAGACGAGTTAGCTCTGGGTGATTGCGAGAAAAAGAAAAGATGAGAAGCAAAAGAAAAGTTGCGGGGGTAGCACACGCGCCTCTTGTCTCAGACCTGCACGCAAACGTATTTTGCTTTGTATGTCGGGCCGTGCTGGTAAAGCGTGCTTGTATCAGATGTGTCCGAGTTGCAGGTTCCTTCGGCACAAAGTCGCAATTTATGCCGATCGGAAGAGCAGACTTGGAGAGGACGTGTGCAATGGGACAAAATGCTCTAAAGTGCCTGCATATGATGCGTAGATGGCTGTTCTCGGCAACACAACAATTACATTCTGGACCATAAACAGGACAGAGACCAGCAAACGAAAGGGAAAGATCATAGCAAAAGTCACATTTTGAAAGGTCCTATGTACGGAGTAATATCCAAGAAGAAAGCAAACGCCAGGTCATGATGATACAAAATAAAGAAAACGCAGATGAGAAACGTAAAGAAGTACAAATAAAGACTTGAAAAAAAGATAACATCGTATATATGCTAAACCGTTAGACTGCGTAAGGTCTCTCGAACTCATTCTCGTATTCACCTCCGCCTCCGGCCGGATAGGAGGATGGCAAACTGTTCATTCTCGAGGTCCGCGTCGTCGGTGATATGGATCTTGTTGATCTTGTTGATTTTGTTAGCGGCGGCAGTGTCGCTGCTAGGCATCTCCATCACCGGCTTGGCCTCTGTCTCGGTTTCGGGCAAGACATCGGCGTCATTCTCGTACGACTTCTCGATACCGTTGTTTCCGAGCAAAAAGTCACCAAAGTATTTGACAGCACTGAAAACCTCTTCACCAGTGGGCACAATCTCGGAGCTCGGCAGCAGGAAGCCGTAGCTGCCCGTGTCACGCAGCTTGATCTGGTAGCTGTACTTGGCGTGCAGCTCGTGGTAGAACCAGTCAATGGCGGAGCCGCCACCGGACTCGATGCGGGTCGTGGCGGGAGTGTCACTGGCAAAGCCCATAACGCCCTCGCAGGCCGATGAGATACTATAGGTCTCGCCCGTGGACAGGCGGATGGCCTTGGCGAGCCCAGCTGCGAGCTCTTCGAGGTTCTCGAGATTCGGCGGGTCGGCGGCGCACGAGTAGGAAAAGGGGAACATGATCTGCTGGGAGTACGAGTGTAGATCCAAGAAGCCGCTAAACTCGACGTTGTTGTCGTCGACCTCGCGACGAGCCCAGGCAGACAAAGTCTGGGCCTCAATGGCCTGAAATGCAGACTCGCCGCCGTAAGACTCGGAGCAGGGCTCGTCGCGGGTCTTTCTGTCCCACTCGTAGCCAAAGGCGTGGTCAAGGTCGAGGCCGCGGCAGTAGCGGAAGTTGGTGGTCTGGCGGGTCTTGCGCCAGAGACGGTCGGTCTGCCAGGTATACTCGTAGCCATCCGGGTTGACGACGGGCACGAGGACAATGTCAAAGTTGTCGACGAGCTTGGTGATCATGTTGGTGTGGCCGTAGCCGGTGATAATGGCCCAGGCGATATAGCTGACGGAGCTGGACGAGATCCACTCACGGGCGTGCAGGCCGCCCGTAATCAGAATCGTCTTTCTCTTCCTAGGCGGCTCGGCGGCGCCCGGTGGCGACGGCTTGCTCTTGTGGCTCTTGTGGTTCTTGTAGTTCTTGTTCTTCTTGTCCTCCCGGCCCTTCTTGTGCTTGCTGTGCTTCTTCTTCTTCAGGATCACGAAGCCGTCGTCCTCCTCACTGTCGTCAACCTCTTCAGCCTCGTCACCCGCGTCCACATTCTCAACTTCCTCGACGTCGTGGCTGTCAAACGGCTCGCGCTCAGAACCACTATCCTGCGTGCCCACACGCAGACCAAGGATCTCGCGACCCTCGGCCGACTCGCCGACGCTGACCGTGTTGACAAACGGAAACATGACGTCCAATAGCTTCATCCACTGAACAATCACAGGGTATGGCTGGTAGTCGCGGAAGAAGATATTGTCCGTGCCACCACCACCAGTGACGGAAGTCTCATCGTTCGGGAACGAGCCGGGTGACTTGGGCGGGAAGTAGGCGGCGCTATCACCGCCGGCCAAGGCCGACAGTTTCGGGTATGTGTCGCGGACGGCCGCAGCCAGGTCCGGCACGAGCGGTGAAAAGGACCGGTGTAGGCTCGTGGGCAGCAACGTCAACAGCGATGACACATCCTCCTTATCAATCAGGATGTCGACGGTGCCTGTAAAGTTGTTGAAGGACCAGATGTCGAGGAAGAGACGCTGGGCAGCGGCAGCCAGAGCAGCCTCCTCGTCTGGCGTAGCGACATTGAAGCGGATCACGGTCTGCTGGGCGTACCGCGCCGAGTTGGCAGCAGCATACCACTGCGTGTGCCGCGGGTCACCAGTGCTCAAACGATCCCGGTTGAAGATGTAGTCGGCGATGGAGTCGCGCAGCCAGGCAAGACGCATAAATCGTGGCACCCACGAGCCATGGGCCGGCTCAGAGATGCGGCCCGCATGGTGGCGTGCCGCTGCAGACGGAGAGATAAAGAGGAGGAGCACAGTGGCCGGTACGAGCAAGAGGTACAGACTCCGGGACCACATAGCGGGCGAATGATAAACGGCGTGACGGTTTTCTGTTTTCGTAATCCGACGATAGAAGAGGATGAGGCACTTCGAATCAGCCGGGGTCAGCCGGGGTCGGCGGGAGAAAGGTGTCGTACAATGTACGATCACGCGATCTCAATAAAATACTAGACAGTCGTGTAGCAGATGTGTCCTCGGGCCTGTCTGCATCGATGGGTTGACGCGAAGGCGATGCCAAAACGAGGTCGTGGATTGATGGCGGACTCGAGAGGCAGAATGAGACGTCTCCTAATAGCCTTGTAGTGGGGTTATGTGCTGGAATGTGAGAGAACGGGCCAATCAGAGTTGCGCTTACATGGCAGCCTTGGTTCCTTCCGTTAGGGTGTCTGACGCAATACTGGGAACCCACTGGAACTCGGCAGGAGACAGCCAAGGGCCCACTATGTGCTGCGGAGTCACGTCTATTTTTTCGGTCAGTGCAGTGCCGTCCGTTATTGCTGGCATTCGCCGTTTATATCCGCAGAGCCCCGAGTTTCGGCTTCTTATTTGCACCGAGGCGTTATGGCACAGATCTTTTTTATTTATGATATGTCGTACTGAATTGAGGGTTTTCAGAAACCGAAACTGACCAACACAGTTCTGTTTCCTCAAGACAACTGGTGTTGGATCTCAAATCATCTCGAGGTAAACAACATCATGGCCGCCCGAGCTCCGGTCTGGGGCAGCCGACTGGCACACCGCTCCATACAGGTTTCGTCTTTGCAATGGACATCAAGGAAACCAGGTCAGAGACATGTGTTGGGTAGCTTACAGGCGGCACATGCTCCGTACTCATCAAAATCTGTCGGAAGTGACGACGGCCCGGTGAAGCTGGCGTTTGACCTGCACAAGCCCGAGAAGCCGGTGGCCGATGACAAGACGCGTCCGATTCTGGTCCTGCACGGCCTGTTTGGGTCCAAGAAGAACAACCGGAGCATAAGTAAGTAAGTTCAGTGCCTGACAAACTATACGGGATTGGGACTGCGTACACTGGGGGAAACGGTTTGCTAACGACAGACCAGAGTCTTGGCAAGGGACCTAGGACGGTCAATATATGCTCTTGTACGAAGATCCTCTGTTATTTTTTCTTGTCCTGCTTGCCGCTGACATTGTAGGACATGAGAAACCACGGCGACTCCCCCCATGTTGCGCGCCATGACTATGAAGTCATGGCCGACGACGTGGCCAACTTTATCAAGGAGCACGGCCTGACTGACCCGTCGATTATTGGGCACTCAATGTATGTTTTATTTGGTTTGGTTTGTTCTACTTTTGCTCTGCTGGTGGCACATAATTTTCCCATTGCAGGAACTAACCGTCCAAGGGGTGCAAAAACGGCCATGGTGCTGGCTCTCAAGTCGCCCGACATGGTCCGCGACATCATCCCCGTCGACAATGCGCCCATCGATGCCGCCCTCCTCAGCAACTTTGGCACATACGTCCGCGGTATGAAGTATGTCGATCTCTGCCGCGTCAAACGCCAGGCCGAGGCCGACAAGATTTTGCAGAGCTACGAGCCATCGCTCACTATCCGCCATTTCCTGATGGGTAACCTGCACCGCGTGAAAGTGCCCGACGACGATCCGAGCCCCGAGGCTGGCAAAACCATTTTGCAGTTCCGCATCCCGCTCGGCACGCTTGGCAAGGCACTGGACGTACTGGGCGATTTCCCGTACAAAGACACCAACGCAGTGCGCTTTGAGAAACCAGCGCTCTTTGTGCGCGGCACCAAGAGTCACTACGTGCCGGATGAGGCACTGCCCATTATCGGACAGTTCTTCCCGCGGTTTGAAGCGGTCGACATTGAGGCTGGCCATTGGGTGATATCAGAAAACCCCGAGGCCTTCCGACAAGGTATGTCCTTGCTGTCGTTGAAAGCATATCTTGCACCTTCGCTGACTGATGCTATTACAGCCGTTGTCCGCTTTCTCACTCCAAGGGACGATTGAGTAAAGTGGAAAATGGCCAATACCGGTCCACACTTACCAGTCCACACTTTGAGGTGGAAGAATACCTAGAAAATCGTCCCAGATATAGACAATCCTTTGAGATTTGTCCGCAAATAGACATTAATTGCAAATGAATAACATGTTCTGTCTAGAATGATATTTCTAATATAGCCGTAAACACAAATGTGCAACATTATCGTAGGATCTTTGGTGCTAAAGATGGGGAAAGGGTATCGCAATAGGAAATAACAAATCAGGCAAGAAGATACACTGAGCACACCACATATGCCGCTCTCAGCAAGAGCAGTTGGCGAGGTAGCTAGCTTGTCCTTCTCCCTCACGACTACCTGCACCTAGGGACACAGTTTCGGCTGCTCGTCGAGGCGCACTCACAGCACCAGAGGCCACGATCCGGTCAACCAGGGCGACAAACGGTTCCCGTACGTTCTCGCCCGTCCGTGCACTAGTCTCAAAGAAGAGAGGTGCTGCGCCGTCGTTGTCATTGTATTTGGCTGCCAGCGCCGCGCCCTCTTCCATCGACACGGCGCGACTTGTGCCTGCGCGGTCCACCTTGGCGCCCACCAGGCAGAACTGGCACTTTATTGAAGACCCGGCACCAGCCATGGCCGTGTTGGCTTCGGCCTCGGCGAACCAGCTGTCCATCTGCTCAAACGTTGTGCGGTTGGTGATGTCGTAGACAAAGACGATGCCGTGGGCGCCGCGGTAGTAGCTTGTCGACAGGGTGCGAAAGCGTTCCTGGCCCGCCGTGTCGAGGAGCATGACACGGCAATTCTTGCCACGGACGGAGAGCCGCTTTACATGCATGTCGATGCCGATGGTGGCCGATGCATCGTTGGGATCGAAGTCGTTGTCGCAATATCGCTTGAGGACTGTAGAGTCGTTACTGGTCAGTACAATCCAGGAACAGTCGCCAGCGGCATACCCCCAGCAAAGATAATCTCGAAAGGACGTCAGAAAGGAGAGGGAGACTGACGCGCCGTTTTGCCGACGTTTGAAGGCCCAATGATGAGGATCTTGAGTGCTGATTCGGTCATGTTGGCTTTTGTGACATGTGCAGATCCGAGGTATCAGAGAATATGTGCAGAAAAGTGCAAGAATCGTGTTGTGGCAGAAGTGTCGTAAAGAAAATCAACAGAGTCGTGCGAAATGACGTACCAGCCTAGATTGCGCAGGTACTACTGCCAGATACAGCCATGTGAAAGGCGAAAGGCGGGAAGGCGTTAGTGGGCCCTTCAGTTAATTGGCAGACGACAAACACTGGAGCGTCCAGTCTACAGCAATGCGATTGGCCCAATGGCCCAATTTTGTCGCCACAAACACATCGCCGTCGTGTCGAGGTCACAACAGGAATTGATTCGCTACTCAACTCTGCCCAAGTTTGTCGGTTGGCTACTTGTTATTAAACTTTTTTTTATTGTGTGTATGATGGTCCCTGACTGCTTTTGGTTTGAAGAGTATTGTAGCATAATACCAACGCCCTCTCTCTTTTTTTGCCCATCCCTCGTATCTGCTTTTCATAATCTCGTTTTCTGTAGAGACGTGGAAGAAGCAGAGGAAACACAAGAGAAAAAATAAAAACACCAAACGATAAAGTCAAACAACCTCTGCCCTTAAACGTCTTCATTCAAAGCCGCCATCGTCCCAAAAATAAAGCACGCCTGGCCTGCCCACAACAGAAAAAGTGTGTGGGAGAGCACATTTATACCTCCTCCAGGACAACCTCCTTGAACTCGCGCTCGACCTTCTGGCCATCCTCGCCACCGCCCGACTCGCCGTGCAGGGCCAGCAGAGAGCCCAGGTCGAACTTGGGCTGCTTCAGCATCTTGACCTTGCGGATGTGGACCTAGTGTTGTTAATATTGAAAACAACTACAAATAAAAGGGAAAGATACGAGGGGAGAACAAACATTCTGCAGGGGATAGATGCCCTGGGAAGACTTCTCAATCTCGCGGCCAATGACCTCGGGGATCAGCTTGGCGGTCAGCTGCTGCAGGGTGCAGCTGCTGGCCTCGCGCTGGATGATCTCGGTCATCTTTCTCCGGATGGCGCGGATCTGCGAAGAGGCGGCGTAGGTAGTCTTCTTGATCTGGTTCGGGCGGCGCTTAGTGAAGCCAATGGCGAACAGGCGCAGCAGGTAGTCGTCGGTGGTCTTGACCGTGATGTTGGCCTCGATCAGAGTCTGCCACTTGCGGACGAGCGACCGCAGCTTGTCCGAGGTGAAGTCCAGGCCGTGGAAGTTGGTCAGGCAGTTCTTGCCCTGGACCTCGTCAACCCGGAGCTTGACCTTGCGGAACGAGTGCTCCTCATCCTTCTGCAGATCAGCAAGGGAAACCTCGATGATGCGGCCCTTCAGGGCATCGTTGGCGTTCTTCAGACCGGAGGTGCGGTTGACGAGCGTCTTGCCGACACTGTAAAAGGAGGGAGAGTTAGAACCTGTAATCTCGTACTTTTCGGACCTGACCGTTGTCGAAATTCGGATCTAAGATTGAGGAATTGCTTACTCCCGGGTGGCGAAGGTGGTAGGGGCCTTCACGGCGTACCAGTCCTTGCGGGTGAAGGGGTCGACGGTCTTCTTCTTGAGGCCCTTCTTGCCCTTGGACAATCTCTTGTTCCTGTAAGAGTTCAAACCGTCAGCAAATGGTGTTCGGTTTTAACGTTTCGTCTCGTCGTCTTTTCGTTTCCATCTCTCCCGTGTCCTTCTCGTCCCATCATCGTCTTTGTGCGTTTCTCTGATTTATCTTTGCAAAAGTCGCATTGGTTCCGTGGATCTCAAACTTGAATTCCCATCAATATTGCAGCGCCAAGTCCAGCATATTGTGTCGCTCCGTTACTGTCGGCAGTCGGTAAGAAAACGGAAGAGCCCTCGTCGAGGAGGACAGGAGGAAAAGCATTGCCAAAGATAACAAAGTCAAGAGTCCACGGAGCCAATGTTTCTTTTTTTGAGACAAATCGAGATCGCACGCGAGAGATTCTGAGGCCGAAAGAAATTTGGAAGAGACGCAGAAACGTAAAGTCGCAAAGACGTTCAAATGGGATTTGTTCGTGTTTCGTACTTTCCGACCGCCATCTTTGCAGACTATGTTGTCGTGACTTGATGGAAGGGTTCGTGGAAGACGGGTGGGTTGGTGATGGGAGAAAGAGGTGAAAAAGAGTGTGAGGGTTCGTGGCCGGGGAATATTGAAAAGCGAAATAATGGGAATGGCCGAAAAAAATTCAGAGGCGCCCTAGGGAAAAGAGGGGAGGGTCTGCCACACACAGAAGCGTGACAGAGGGAAAGAGCCAGCCAAAACGCACAGAGACTGGGGCTACAGAACCAAAACGCCCGCGAAAGAATCTGTGGGCAAAATTTTTGAGTAAAAGCGGTGGGGCTTGTTTTTGGTAATGGTGAATTTCCATTGGCTGAGAGGCAGTTAGGGCTTCTCAAATTTAAACTGGGCCGTCAGGGCCACACGATAAGACGGCATAAATGCTTATCAGTAAAGATGCTACTAATGAGGCAAGTCTCCTGATATCGTTATGTCCGATATATTATGTCAGTATCACTTATCCACCGTAGGACGCAACCGCATCTTCGATAATTCAACGCTGCCATCAGGATCCTGAACTCCTGTTCGCCTTCTATGTCCCAGGCCTAACCAATATTGCGGCGACGTGCCGCCTTGTGATCGAAAACAGATTGACTGCTTGTCTTTCATTGCCAGATGGGCAGCCAACGTCAACGAGTGATTATTTGTACTCCCGGAATAAATATACTACACGTTCGGTTACGAACGCGTCGTAAGAAAGAAGCTAGATTCAGTTGGTAAGCCATTATTTGGGCTACATATAAGGCAAGCAGTGTTGCTCTATGCTTGTGCCATGTCTTGTCCTAAACGCATGGTACTAGCTATAGATATGTCAAAACGATCGCAGTTCGGCCGAATGAACGAAGTGGAAATGGATTGGGTATTGTATAACGATCAACGTGCTATCTTTTTTGCGTTTTCTTTTCTATGTCGTGGACGTCATGGATTCATGGTTCTCGTGTACTTTTTGGTGTGCATTCTCGTGAAATAAAAACGCCCATGAGCAACAAACCAGCACCCATGCTCTCTTTTAATTTTTTTTCTCCAGTCTCTTCCCGTTATTTTTCTCTAACGATTTGTGGCAGCTTATAGAGTCCCAAAGAAAAAAATGTCGACAATGCAAACGGTGTCGACAATGCAAACGGTGAAATGGGACGCTGGCTTTTCCAGGCCGCGTCGACGTCTCTCCGTTCGCTGGATTCTCGTCCGTTCTCTTCTTATTGGGTCCTGGCGCTTGCCATTTGTTTTTTGCAAACTCTCCTTTTCTTGTTTCCAATAAAATCCTGCTTATAACGCCCATGAAGATGTCTCTCCAGGGGTCGAAGAAGGCAGAGAGTAGGACAATAGCAAGGTTAGACTATAGAGCAACTCGATTCGACATCCTATTTCAAGGATTGTCAATTACATGTCACCTTCGTCGTCTCCTCTAGCTATGTCCGATTTGAATTGCGTGGTTAAAATAAAGTCGTGTGTCGATAAAAAATGTGGAAGAGACGGTGAACTTCAAATAAAATGAAGGCGCGAGCTTTGGCCGTGGCTGACGATCGGAGTGATGTGTCTGGGGTATGTGTAGTGTGTAGTGTGTGGTGTGAGGATGTGTAAAAATTGGTGCGGTCTCTGTATGGTCGTTATTCTTCGTGATTTGTTTCAGATTCAATTTGTTGTCGCTTTTCGTAGAGCTGTAAAGGTTCAGTTTAGACTCTCGTCTAGTTGTCAACGTCATCGTCTTCCTTGTCTTGGTTGTCGTCGTATATGTCGAAGCTGGGGAAGCTGTAGTAGTTTGCCGAGCCTAGGGAGTCAGTAAAGAGTAAATCAAAAGGAACAGAGACACAAGAACGAGAATAAAAGGGTCACGACTTACAAGGGCTGTGTTGCAGATCATCGAGAGAGCTGCTCGTGTGCGTTGAGGCCGGTGACGAGCCAAACACCTCGTCCGTATTGGCCCGCCGGCGGCATGCATCGACAGAAGAGTCGCCAGCAGATCGCATGCCGCTGCCGCCGGGACCGGTGCTGCTGACGGCTGTCGTGCCGTTGCGGCTACCAACAACGGCTGCAGCCGACGAGCGGCGCTCGCTGCCGTGCGGTGAAGTCCGCCGCGAGCCGCCACCGCCGTTACTCATGCGGTCAAACAGAGCGCCGTTCGAAAACGAAGCAACGGGCGAGGTTGCACAGGACGAGAGGTACGCGACATGATTGAGGAGGTCGGTGGCGCGGCGGTAGCTACTATAACCGGGGACGCCGTTGTTGCTGCTGTTGCTGCTCTCAACGCCGCTTGGGCTTGTGTGGCCGCTGCTGATGTGACTGCTGCGGTAGGAGCTGGGCAGTGCCATATCGAGGGCGTGGCTGCCGGTGGAGGATGTGAAGAGAGAGGGTTCAGTGACCGAGGCTCGGAGCAGGCGCGGGCGTCTCTGGCCAGAAGATCGAGACGCTGCTCGTGGCTGCATTGTTATGGCTGCAAGTGCAAGTTTTATAGGAAAACACCATGTGCAATGTCAACAAAACCAGGCGAAATGACGTCGTTAGCGTTTGGTGCCGTCGATAGACCGGTGCACACAGATCGGGTGTTTGGCGGGAATCGACCGCGGTGTTGACAATTTGGAGGGCAATAAAAAACCGACAAATGAATGCAAAAGGGGTCGATGAATATTGAAAGGCAACGGTCAGTTGAGATGGAAGATTTAATGGAAGACGACCCTTTCTTCCTCAAAATCCAATCTAGGATATTGTGCCGCTGTGTTGATGTTTGTCGAAGGTGCTGTGAAGAAGTGATGGCGTTCAATTTAATGTGAGCTTTGAAAGTGCGGACAATTACTGGTTGTCATCGGAGATGGTTCAGCGATGCCAGTTGTCAAATGTCGTGCGAGAAGCAGGTTATATGAAGAGGGCAGGATGAGAGTAAAACATGAAGATAAAAGATCAATAGAAGCGTCGACATAAATTAAATAAAAATATACAAGAAGTATGTTGTATGTAACAGGTTATTTGAAAGCCGATCGAGGGTACTATAAGAGTTGCAACACGTACGCGTCGGACGCAGCAATATGTATCCGAGAATAAAGTATGGAGCGGAGGAATCAGTTTCGAAGCTTGGCGACAAAAGTAAATGGAGAGAAAGAGATGAAAATAAAAAAGAGGGAAAAGAAGACCTGAGAGCTACAAAGAAAAAAGGGGGGGTGTTGAACTTTAATGGAAAGACGCGAGAATAAGGCGGGAAGAAAATATGAAAAGACAGAGGAATACGAACGTCTGCACGCCCTCATACGTCGCGCCTCACTCTCACATGGGGGTCTGGCACACTCCCACCACGCCACCACCACGACGCATCCGCCGTCCCATCCCATCCCCAAAGATACCAGTCGGTTATGGGTGGGCATTATTCTAAACTTGACACCGGTTTATTTCACCCCCTGTCCTCTGTTCTTATTTCTTTTTGTAGTACGATGCTTTTTTAATTAGTTATTTTATTTTGTTGGGCTCAGGTGGACAGGGGTTTCAGCTGAATGGGGGTTTGTAGGGTCGGTGGAAGCGCGGGAGAACGAAAGAAGGCCAGCAAAAGAACAGGGAAAGAAGGAAATCAGGAGTCCTGAGTAGAGAACGATATTGAATGACAAAAGGAGAAATGTCAAATAGTGAGCGGCCGACGAAAGGGGACAAGACGAACTAGGAGAGACCAAAGAAGAAAAGTTAACGAAAGGAAGCCCCAGAAAAGTCAGGAACCCGCACCCATGCATCGCCGGGACCTGGGACCAGCAGGGGAGTAGTGACAAGTCAACAGGGGGTGAATGACAGCAGACGAGACGGGAAGATACGCCAAACCATGCCAAACCGGGCCAGGCCCCAAGACGCCAACACAACAGTGCTGATGATCATCACCAACTTTTCACGTCCGACCTCAGATCATTTGTGCTGTTTTTGTATAGTTCAGATTCCGTGCACTTGTCTTCTGAGGTCGCGTACCGGCTTGGAAGATCCCTTTGTTAGGTGATTTGAGAGACATTTTGTATCGAGATAGCAGACGACGGAAAGCATCGATGACCCCACGCGCAGTCGATGGACAGGATCCCGTGACAAAACTGTAGTGAGACGGGTGGGCGGTGTACAACATATGGAGATTCATAATAAGAGTGGAGGTTGGGCGACGAAGCTCGATGCTTTTCCATCAGTCACCGCTTTTCACGATCAGCAAATGGATATGGAGCCGTTTCTTCTCTTTCTCCGCTCTTTGTTGTCATATTTTGGGCAGTTTTTGTTAGTTAAAATAAGCGTCAACATGAGGTAAAATTACTTGGATGGTCCCAGAAGCACGGAAGAACACTCTCCACCGTCAGCACACATAAATCAGTGACAAAAAGACAACTGACGCACTGTTGTCATTACATTTACCGGCAGATGTTTCCCCCTTCATCGGACTATGCCGAAGTGTGTTGAAGGAGCATGGGCAGATGCGTGATGCACGTGGGCACGAGCCTGATGAAAATGGAAGAGAGAGAGGAAAGGAAAAGGGACTGGAGATGGACAATGAATATGGGCAGCTCCGCCGTCTTCCCAGGCAGGTAATCTTTGCGTGCTTTTCTCCCATGGTCCCTTTTGTTGTGGTGATTGCGGTCTTTGCGTTGTTATCAGGCCTCCTGTACCGTTTCCGAGAGCTGTTCTCGTCCAATGGTTTCTGAAGCAGGGCGTGCGCTGAGCGCAGAACCAGAAAGAGGCACAGCACACAGGGAGATAAAACGATACTATTCCGTGTGTTCTCCGCAGTTTGTGGTGTGTCTTTTTTCTCTCACTTCTGTACCATAGGCCAACAGTTGGCCTGCTTTCCCTGCCAATCCTTGTCACTCTGTGTGTGTGTGTGCCGTTTGCAAAGGTTAACTTAGCGGGTGGCCTGGCCAGGCCGCCCCCTTTTTGTGAGACCCGGACGGAGTGTCGACCGTTGGGTTGGGCACGCACTAACCACCTCTCAAGAGGTGGTGTGGGTCCAACTGAACTATGCGTGTCTGGAACTCTGTCGATGCGCGATGCGATGGGCGAGAGAGGGCCAGGGAGGGGAGAAAGAGGAGAGGACGTGCGATGCCAGCTCAGAGAGAAGACACGAGGAGGACGAGAGGGAAGTGAGGAGAAACAAAGAGGGGGTGGACAGAAGAGAAGAGGAGACTTGCAACTCCTTCCGAATCGGCGAACACAGTCGTTTGAGTCGTTTGTTTGTAGGGAAACAGCGACTAGCAGAGCAGGTACAAAGCAAGGCGCGGAAAACGGAAGGCGGAAGGCGGAAGGGAAGGCGGAAGGCGGAGTGCCACTTCCCTCTTTTGCGCCTCATTCTCCCTACATCGTAGAAGTGGTGTGGCAGCACGTTAGGAGGGGGCTGACGCCATTGCCCCCTTGTGAAGCTGGTGTTGTCAACCCCAATAAAAATATCACGTCTTCCAGGCCCCAGCGCGATTCTCAGGGACAGACTGTCATCCCTTGCGTGCCATGTTCAGCACGCGCAAGTCCTTTGCGACCCGTCCATGGCCATTCCTTCGCTGCTACACTACACGGCGTGCAGCACTTTGTGTTCGTTGTACTCCGTATTGACGGAGACCTGGCAGAGTTTTCGCGCCCAGTGGCCAAAATTTTTTACATTTCAGACATATTTCGAGCAAGGCTAAGGACCAGCCGTACTGGACTACCTATCCGGGGAAGAGGGTCGGCGCGGCCGGCTCGGTCGGGCGTCGGTTATTTTAGAGACCCTCCACACTCAGTGTAAGTCGTCCATTTTCTCGTTTGTACGACACATTTCGCGTGCAACCGTCTCTCTCCTTACTGAACCAAAAACCTTCTGCTTCGTACTTACGTCTCATTCGCAGTGACCTGCCCCATGGAAGACTGGTGTCCGGACGTCACACGCCCGAATTCGAAACCCAGTTGGGTACAAATACATATGTACATGTACGTGGACGGGGCCATTTTCCATTTTCGAGTGTCTGATTTGTCTGTTTGTTGTATTGTATCTTACTACGACGTTGGCTCTGCGTTGTTCAAGTGGAGAGACACAGTGTTTCTCCTCAGCGAGTGATTGCACTTTCTTCCAATACTAGGCTTGTTCGTCCCCCAGACCGAATAGTCGAGAAACTAACGAGCCCCAAAGGAAGACAAAATAAGGGGCATTCTTATTCCTTAGATTCTTTTGTTTGTGTATCAGCGACCGTCTTTCGGAAGATATTCTGGGAGCTAACAAGGATTTCCAGGCATTCTGAGGAGGAGGACGCTGGGGGTCAGCAAAAAGGAACGCTAACAAGGCGGCAAGAAAGCAAGAGGAAAAAGTGTGATGATCAAAGTCCGAGAAGTGTCTCGAACTCGCCTCCCCCTTTTTTTTGCTCTTGTCTCATGTCAGCGGCGTCCGACGTCCATTGACCGGTCTCAACCTCCTCATCAGTGATTTGACATGCCCGAGCATGTGCCCGCCTCACTCTTTCCTCCCACTACGATTCCCTTGTCGTGTTCGATCTCCGTGTTTCGCAAGTACTGCGCAGTGTGCTGTGATTTCAGAGAAGAACCTTAATGATACGCTACCAACCTTTCTACAGGTGTCATATTCCGTGTCTTCGAAAATCATCTTGCTGGTGTTTTACCGTTTTATTACGTTCTGCTCCGTTCGTCATAAACCTCTTGCTGCCAAGGAACTTCAGCCGTTGCTCCAGCTTGCACACTCTGGCCCGTCCATTATTCTCGAGTCTCTGCATACGAAGTATTACGTCGTACACCTCCCGCTTCGCCCTTACCCGGCAGCGGCCAGTACGGCAAGCAGCCGGTCAGGAAGTCTACCTCGTCATTGACTTCCAAGTCTTAATCCCTCCCTTTCATTGCCATCACGTGTTCCATTTTGCACGACAGAATCCTGCCAAAGGCCTTGAACCGTTCTGCTCTGCATCCCGTCCTAGCAGGGCCTCGCTAAAATATAACCGGAAATTCGTTGACTTGTATTCTTGCCGTTGTACATTTTCCTTACAACAATGTCATGACAACAGAAACTCATACGCCCCCACCCGCGTCTCTGGCCTGGTATGACAAAGAGATTGCCTGTAGCCTTTCACGACACAAATCCTAACGAGATGCCCTGGTTACATTTCCGTACATGCAGCGATGGTACACGGTACCCAGCTCTGTAATCATATAAATGCACCTGCACAAGTACATCGTACTACAACGCCACTGCATTCTATTATAGTAAATTGATCGTCGCCGGTGTGCTGCGTCACACCGGCTGTAATGTATGGCACCCTTCCTACGTATATGTCTAATCTTTCTGCCCAAGCCCACCATTGTCTATGTGCCGTCCATGGCATTGTAGTTCATGAAAAGGCGAGACCAGACGACGCCAATTTGATTCGAAACGTAAAGATGAAATACGGCCGCATATACAGGCTGCTTTCCTTTTGCATCCTATCTCTATAGAGTGACGAATGAAGCCCAACAAGAGGTCTTTTCTGTGTCCTCCTGCGACGAAATGACACATTCTGCAGCACTTCTCCCGGTCCATTGTCCTAAGGGGAACCTAGTCACACTGTCGTCTTCCGTGCCTTTCGTGTTTGACTTTCTTATACTCCCTTCGTAAATCCTCTTTCCTGTCGCGTTACGTTGTCCTTTAACTTCTGTTGAAAAGTATGGCCCGGCACCATTGCACACGCCTGCTGCAATGCCGCCGGCCGCTGTCACCGGATTGAAACATAAATGGCTGAAGAGATGCCGTGTTTATAGTAAATTAAACTTGGCTTTGGTTTTAAGATATACTGGTGTCTGTGTGTTCGTTTTTGTTATATTTGTACTCTTTTGTTTTTACATTTTTTTGTTGTATTTGTATTATTTTGTTCTTACATTTTAATTTTTTTTTTTTAAAAAAAAGATATATCTATACCTAATATTCAGTACATTATACACAAATCGCGATAATCCAAGTACCCAGTACATACAGCTTGTACAAACATTGGAATGTATGTATCCCCCACACCTCTTACTTTCCGTCTCTCTGTTGGAAAGCACCGAAAAAAAATCAATGGTCACGAGCAAGACAACTGGCAATGCCCTGGGCAAAATAGGCAGCACTGCTGCATCACACTCTCTATCCCCTTCCCTCAAGGCTTTCTCGCTCCGCACTGTGGGGAAGCACCTTTACATGGCAAACGAGATTGGCGGGAGCAGTGCATGTGCACCGCTTACGCAGGCGTGGAGAAGAAAAAAGGACAGTTGACTGGAAAACACAACGGCTGAGTGGACATGAGGGATCGAGAATTCTGTGATGGGGGTACAAGGGGCGGGACCAATGCGCAATACTCCGTACACACTCAAAATGGCGCTTTACTAAAATTCAATACCGGTTTTTATCAGAAAACAAGATGTGTAAACAGAAGAGATACTGGCCGCTGCAGCACGCCGTCTCATTCGATGGACAATGACATGTTGATTGGCAAAGGATAGCATCCCGCACTTTGCAACCCACAGCCATGCTCAATGGGGTCGTCAATTCTTGCCCACGTACGACGTATGGCGAGATCCAACTGGTCGTCTTGCGTGCTTCGTGGGAGCGCGGGCGTGGGCTGACTAGTAACTGATTGTGAGGATTTCTCTAGTCTGTGACTGGGTGATAAAAAACGCGCGATAAAACAAAGGCCTCAAGTGATTGGTCATATGGTGCAACAGAGACAAATCGGTTGTACATGCTTTGTTTTATTAGACACGCAGGTAGAAGAACAAAAGGCCTAGTTTAACCAATAAAATGGGAATTTCTAACCGTACACCCGCAGATCGTGGCTCACAGGTTTTCAAGGCTTTCTTACGCGGCACGGCTTTGGAGTGTTGAGGCAGGTTGGTGGGGGTCGGAAGCGACATGAAAGAGTCGCTCAATGGTCGATGCTATGGGGAACGTTGGAAGACTTGGTCAGCACTCGGACATTGCATGATTTGTTGAACGACGTCAGGGGGTGATTGTATGTCCAGCGAGGAGGAAGGTAACAGGGAAGGGGCAACGAGTGCGACGTAAACGAAATGCAGGATTTGACTTACTCTTCCCAGGTTCTGCCTTGTACGGCCTCGAGCTCCTCTGTTGTCATGCGGTGGCCGTTTGTAAAGTAGCCTTCAAGTGACGAGGAAGAGACACGGTTAGTCAAAAGTTCGATGTTTCCTAAAACGGATGGTGGTCTGGTAAGTAATATCTTACCTGCATTGATCTTGGCGTCGATTTCCACTCTTGAGTCCGCTGGAATCCATTCCTCGGGAAGCTCGACACGTTCGTGAATTGGAATCCTAAGAGACGAGGCGACAAGAGTTAGTCCGATATCAAACTAGGACAGAAGAAAGGTTGCTGGTTGTGGGCGTGATGTTCATACCCTTGGCCAACGATGGCATCGTATTTCATGCTGTAAGACGATCCGATTAGCACAACTTGCATTTGATGTATCAAATAAACGAACCACTAGTTGTATATCCTTAAAATATACGTACTTGCTCATGCTCAACATCCGGTCGATCTTTGTGATACCAAGCCAATGCAGAATGTCCGGCATCAGAGCCTGGAAGCGCATGTCCTTGACGCCGGCAATGTTCTCAGTCCGCTTGAAGTAGTCGGACGCGCGGTCTTCGCCTCGCTTTCTCGCGTTGTACACAACTTTGGCACTCAACGTTAGCATAAACCATCATTAAAAGGCTCGCCATATATATCGAAGAGAATGGAGCCGGTCATACGGTACTAAACAAAAATTGTCAGTATAGGGCAACGGCGAAAAGAAAGGGAGCCACATGTGATGAGTCGGCTCAACTCACTTTTGTTACTTCACCAAGGGCACGCCCCTCCTTTCTGAAGTAGATCACAACACCGCTGCCTCCGTTCTGAGCCTCCTTGACAGCCTCCTCAATACCGTAAATTAGATACGGCCGGCATGTGCAGATATCAGAGCCGAAGACGTCGCTTCCGTTGCACTGTACGCATGTTAGTAACTCATACTTCTCAGACAAGTGCTCATTGAATGACTGCGGGCAGTCACCTCATCGTGGATTCTCAGTGCTAGCCGGACGCTCGCATCTGACATTTTCGCAGGATCGCCAAAACAGTAAACAGTAAGGCCGCCAATGGGAGGCAGGAAGATCTTGATGTCGCCGCGAGTGATGAGCTGTCATGAAGTTAGCTAACAATCAAGAGCCATAGCAACAGGTTATATGCACGTTGGCCAGAGCTCACCTCGGGATAGCTGCCGCCTGTATGTTCGAAAAGGGATCGGCGAAGAGTGCCCTCATCTGATAGCGTTAGTCTGGTTATGTCCGCATCTGTCACGCCGATAGAATACGTAACTCACCAATGCCAAATCTCTCAGCAACTCCTGGTAAATACCAGACCTAGGATAGCATTTGTCAACACCTATCGTTAACTGTTGAGAGCTAAATAGGAGCTTCTTACTGGTTCAACAGCGAACTTTGTCACTGCCAACTCGCCCTTGTCATTGAGGCACACCTTCCCATCAGGAACACTACATATGGCGGCATGGTCGTTAGCAAATAGATTATCGCGAGGTGGGTGCAGGGATATATTCGAAGGTGATATCAACACGCACAGTCTGCCTTTACGGACACTTTCCTCAAGTTCTGGAAGCTGGAGGCACGGGTTAGTACAGTCGAGCACACTTGGGCCTGGAAAGGTAGAAACGAACTCTCATGTGCGCCCTAGTGATTGCAATTGTAGGGCGAATGTCAACTTGAAAATCATTAGCTCTCAACTCAAAACCGATATCGCCTATCGCACCTGGTAAACGCACCATTGTCTTTGTCCATCACCTCCTTGAAGAGAGTTTGAGGTATGTGGCCCCAAGGATCCATGGCAACAATCTTCTTCTTGTCGTGCCATTGAGGGAATGGTCCGATGTTGACCGCCGGCTCGGTGTTGGTAAAGTCGGGACTGTCAAAGATTAGTTTGGATAAAGGGTACTGAATTTAATTCCCACCAGGACATGGTCTACGAACCGATGCTCGGCATTCAATTGTTGGCTCGCAACCGCGAGGGCGTAGTAGATCGAGTATGAACCGCCGTGAGCTAGAAGAAAATTGTGTTAGTACATACATATGGGCAGAGAAAGCCCTGTTACAATTGCGTCTTACCGCCAATGGCTATTTGTATCAAGAAATTTCGTTAGCAATAAATAAGCTCTAATAATATCAACAGCATGTACCAAAGGAAGCTCACCGTTTCGCCGGCGGATCGTCGATGGAGCGCGAGAGACAACGATGGGGCCACGCTCTGTAGGATCTTCGGCGCCCCAGTTCATGAGAAACGGGTTCACGCCGATCTGTTTAGGGTACGTCCTAGGGGTCCATATCAACACACAGCACGTATGGGATTGGCAGAGCGGTTGCGGTACTCACGTCAAGACGATCCTCGAGGTGAAGGTGGACTTTGGGCTTGACGACAGTATCGGGCTGTTGGCCAAAGCATTGTCGGCTTCGACTGGTGGTTCCGACACTGGGTTGGCGATTGTGACCGGAGCGGACAATGCTGCAGGGCTCAGAGCAGAAGCCGGCGCAGAAGCCGTGGTCGGAGCTGGCACTGCAATAGACGACTTGACGGCTGCGAGAAGCTCGGCCTGAGTCTGCTGCATCTTCTCCAGGATGCCAGCGATGTGTTCCGTACCGACCAGGCCGGGGCTGGTCGCTGCATTTCCGTTGGTGGCCATTGTGGGCGAGATGGTTTGTCGAATGATTTAAAAGGGGGGGAGATTGCTTCACGTAGCACTACGTGTATCGATTGGGCAAGAAAGGGATTCAATCTCCGAGAAGAACGGCAGGAACCGTGGGTGAAAAAGGGAGACGGATTCAAGTACGAAGGCGGAACAGAGAGGGAAAGCACGAGGGGTAAATAGGGAGAAAGCGACGTAGGGGCAGGAGCGTTCCACGGCCAATTTAGTAAGTGACAACTAATACGGAAGTTGTGACCGATGACCACAGGAAGCTGCTTCCGATTCTTGTCATAAACAGAGAGAGCTGGGTGATGGGAAGAGTTCAACAGGGCAATGAATATTAGTATACTCCGTACAAACAAGATAACGGAATATCCGGAAGAAATCAAGCGCTCCCAAGACTCGCAAGCTGGCCGGCTGACCGGGGTAGCTCCGGACAATTTGCTAGATGGGAGGTGGCCAGGTTCGATGTGAGGATAGAGCAGGTGGGGAAGGAACCGATAAGCAATAGTTGACTGTGGGAGCATACTACAAGTACGGAGACATGGGACGATATCATTATCTATATGTAGTGATTTGGAAAGTGCGAACTGGGAGCATAAGCTGCGCACATCAGTAACGCACTCTAGGTGAGTGTGAAGGCAGGTGCACTGGCCTCTCATTTGCCGCACCTGTCCGCATCGGCGTCAAGCTACTCACAAACAAAGCCACCGCTTTCTCTGTTTCTTGCTGTCAGACAAAAGTGACGCCTCTTCGACTCACTCAATGTCCAAGACCGGACCCAGCCGGTAAGGGCATGTGACATATTTTTTGGCTGTTATCAGCAACATCCCTTGGTCGTTGGTTGTGTTCAAACCTGTCGGAATGCTGCTATCAATCACGGGGTCCACAAGCAGTTAACCTAAAACGGACACGGCGCGGGACAGGTGAGCGACGACAGGTGGCCCATAACCTGTGCTGGACAGGTAAGAAAAGTGGAGGCAGCTCGTTCCTTCTCGCAGGAGCATGTAGAACGTGCGAGCGAATGACAATCAACTGGGGTTATGTCTTGCTTGCAATGGCCTTGGGCTCTGAGCGACAGAGGGGTTACGAAGTAGTTCACCGCCTGGTGAAGTGGCAGAGGGGCACGCACACAGCGCAAACCTGCGACAGGCGACAAGCGCTAGTTGTAGTTGTAGTTGTAGTTGCAGTTGTTGGCTTGCTGACTACTCCCCTAAAACACATAACTCTTGCCCCGACAGCGTCCGTAATCCAGCCATTTGCGCAAATCGAACAAGCAGCCGTTGGGACTACAGCGATCCAGAGTCACCGCCCTTTCACGACACGCGACACGACGGGCCTCATCCATCTGCGGTTAATCGTCCCTGTCGTTCGTTCCCACCTCGAAAACAACCTTCAAGCGTCCCCTCCCTTCTCCCTCTCTACCCTCCGACGGCCGGAGTTCTTAACTCGACATGGGTAAACGGAAGAGCTCCAGCAAACCTCAGGGACCCAAGAAGGTAGGTTGTGCAGCTCTTTGCGCATGCTCTCGGTCCGGGCGGCGGCCCTGTCCAGCTAGGCACGAACCTCGTTGCTGACATTGATAGGCTGTCCCTCTGCCTACGACCTTTACCTGCCTCTTCTGCAACCACGAGAAGTCTGTGACCGTGAAGCTTGATAAGAAACTCGGCATTGGCTATTTGGAGTGCAAGGTCTGTGGCCAGAAGTTCCAATGCGCCATCAACTGTACGTCCCGTGCGCCAATACGCGAACGTGTCTCGAAACAAAATAAACAAAGGAATAGGAGGAGAATGGCAGCTAACTTTGGACAGACCTTTCCGCAGCCGTTGATGTTTACGGCGAGTGGGTAGATGCAGCTGGTAAGGAAATCTCTTCGCGTTATTTCTTGTGCGTGTGCCTTTGCGTCAACAAACGATACGCCGACTGACACAAACTCGTTTAGATTCCGTGGCCAAGGAGAAAGTCGAGAATGAGACCAGTGGTGGCCGACTGGGCCTCGCCGATTCGGGTCGCTATGCGCCTGGCCGCGTAGGCCCACCATCGCGAGACATTGACGACGACGACGATGGCGGAGACAGACGATACGCGGGCGAAGGCATTGTGGACGACGATGAATACTGATATGCCGCGTATGTACCCCGTACTGGCATCAGTTGAAGGTGGTGGGAAGGCGTACAATGCCAAACGACACCCTGTCTAGATTTACAAACTGCTACCAGCTGTGCTACAATGTTGTGATTTTCTGAAATGCAAAAACAAAGGGGTTTCATGGAAGAATACACGAACTGGATTCATGTGGATTCATACAAAGGACTGGTTGCAGGGAGGCAGGATCAAAAACGGATGCGGTGATGGTTGGCGTTATTAGGAAAAGGCCTGGAGATATTTGTTTTCTTTTTCACCTGTCCCTAGTTTGGGTTTGCATGTACAGATAACGGATACTTGTACTATTACATTGTGTAGTAACGATCGCCAAAGTCGCCGAGTCCAGGAATGATATAGCTGTGTGAAGATATGTCAGCGTGTGAACGATAAGAATAACCAAACGCAAACGCTTCGAGAGGGTCGCATCATACTTCTTCTCGTCGAGGCCCTCGTCGATGAACGCCGTGACCACCCGCAGCTTGGGGAATTTGCTGGCAAATTTGGACACGCCTTGGGGGCTGGCAATCAGGTTAAGGAACAGTATCCGCTCCTCAGGCACACCTCGCGATTTGAGCACCTCCACGGCCATGATGGCCGATCCGCCCGTTGCAAACATGGGGTCCAGCAGCAGCACCCAACGGTTGGCAATGTCCTCAGGCAGCTTGTCGTAGAATAGCTTGGGTTGAGCCGTCTCTTCGTCCCGCTGAATAAGGATCTTGCCAATGCGCACCGACCGGCAGCAGTCGCGGAGACCCTGCTCCATGGCCTCACCAGCACGCATGATGGACACACCGCAAATCTTGCCCTGGAACTGAAGGCCCGCGTAAGGCCGGCCAACGGGCGTCGTCACCTCTCGTTCGACCGTAGGCAGGTGGTTGAGGCCCTCCTCCACCAGCAACCGGATAATGCGGTTTGAGTAGAAGATAAAGTCGCCGCGGTCAGTGTTCTTGTCGCGGATGATGCTATGCAGCTGTGTTAGTATAGGTGACACTGGCTACTCACCGCACAGTACCACCTAGATGCTCAGACACTCACGAAAGCAGGGCAATTAGCTGCGGCGTCTGTGGGAGCACCGTCACGGTCTCAAAGTTGACTGGTGTTGAAACAGTGGCCGAGGGGTTCTGGCTCCCGATCCGGTAGTTGGGGCCGACGCACTGCGTCGTAGCGGTGGTCTTAGAAGCCATTGTTGGGGAGGCAGAGGGAGCTCCAGAAGTTAAACAGTTCGAAAAGAAAGCTCACGTTGTTGTTATGTGCACGTGAAAGAGCTGGCTTCCGTTCGTGAGTGGTCTCGATTCACAATTCACGATATTGGTCTGTACTCCTACTCTTTGCGGGGTACTGCCAGGTGTGATTGATCGAGGGAGGGTACAGAGCTTTATCTGTAAAGCTGCAATGCACGTACGGTGAGCTGTGGTTTATCTTTATCTCGAAGAATGTCGCATGACCCGTGTTTAAGCTTTCTCTGTAGGTTGTGAACTTTTTCAATAGACGGGAGTCTAAACCTTTACGGTCGCCTAGTCTACTGCGCCAGTCGTTTTATCTCTGCCTTTTTTTGCCCGCCGCACCTTCCCAGTCAAGGAACTCCCCAACAAGCTAAACCTCGCCCAGTGCTACTGTTTACTGCCACGACTAATAGACGCAAGTAATACGAATGCCGATAAAGCTGTAACCGCGAAATGATGTAGCGATACGGGCTTGGATTTCCTCAAGGCAGGTATCCTTTGCGGATGCTGGCGACAACCCTGTCCGCACTTATCTTTTGCAACAGCGGCGGAGTGGGGAGAGATGGTTAATAATACAGTGCATAAATACAGTGTTTAAGTATATCTTACACCGTAAATATACTGACTAATCCAGTGGCTCGCTCCCAAATGGACGGCTTCTAGTGGCTGTTACTTTGGCGCTTGCGGCCTATCCCCGTTGCGACAGGCGTCATCACAGTCATCGGCCCCATTGGCCAGCAGTTCGTAGCCAAGCCACCTTCGAATCAAGCCCAATTCTGTGCAATTTCTGTGCCGCTTTCACTTGTCCTTGTCGCGGAAAGCAGGATCCTGGCTTCTTTTGTAAACAATCTTTAATGATACAATCGTTCCTTCCCTACCCCATCATTTGTGTCGTGCGACCACTGGCACCCATCGCACCTTCTCGCGGCATCCTTTCTCCGAGACAATCCTGCTTGGTACATACGGTTGCGCCTTCTGTTTCCATTTGTGATAGGCCCCGGCTCACGCGCCAACTCTTCTCCTGACCGCCCACCAATATTTATATTCACTACGGCCACATTCACGTATCGCGACGCCAACCTTCGCCTTGCCAACTACAGACCTGTCGAAACAGCGCTCGCGCATGGCAACATAATCTACGAGGCACTCATCACGCGAGATCGCCTAGTTCTGAGGGGCACGATTCTACACTGGACAACTGGCTAGCTTCGCCTGCGCACCATTCGAATCGCGCCTCGAACCCACCCTTACAGAAAACACCCCTCTCCTTTCTTCGAACATTATCGACAGCCATCGGACACCGACAAGACGATTGGGCTTCGCGAAGCGGCTCTGCATCGATTGATTTGCCCAGGGGCGGTTGCGCGCGTCTTGTTTTGAGATAATGTCGACATTCAATGATCTGGGCCAGCGCCCCAAAAAGAAGCCCTCAACGACGTACAACGGCAAGCCGGGTCTCAAATCCCGGTCGCAAACATCGACACCACCCATCACCGGCGCGTCGGAGTCCTCTCAGTCCGGTTCACAAACTCCGGCAAAGGACATCTACGAATACGACTTTGTTGACGATGTGCCGCCACCACCGAAATCCGTAACGAAACCGCGACCCTTGTCTTCCGCACGCCCACCATTGACGACTCCCCGACCGAGCAACAAAAGCACAGCCAGCACGGGTCTCGCTCCATCACCGATGCCGGCGTCTACTGCTACGCCGCGCCATCTTCCTAGTATTAAGAGAGGCAATACGACACGGGAGACGCTCGACGCTGTGCGCGGTGTGAAACGGAAGCCATCTCCGAACGAGTCTACGCCTATGTCGCGCCCCAGTGCAAGTGCTCAACGCCCAAGTACAAGCACCCAACATCCGAGTGCTAGTGCCCAGCGTCCCAGTGCCGGCGCACAACGTCCGGCTGCTGGCTTTGCTGCTTCGTCTCCTCCAGTCAGCAGAAATTCATACTCGACACAGGCCAAAAAGGTCCAGCGGAGATCGCCCAGCCCAGGCCCTACTTCGGTCGGTGCGTCATCTCCGCTCTTTAAACAAAGCAAAGCGATTGGAAAGGTCACAGAGTCGAGTTCGTCACGGCCGGTCAGCTCGCCTCGTCAACGCGCTACAAAGACTCCACCAAAGGAACCGGCTGGGTTGAAGAGCCCCCTGGGTATCCGTTCACCATCGGCATCACCAAGAAAGACGCTGTCAACGTTTGCTGCCGCATCGGCTACGACGGCCGTTCGGAAATCGGGGTCAAAATCGCCTCACCCGATGCCCATCCGTCCGGTGGACAACCTACCTTCGAACAGCGGCCACGCGACGCCGCGAAAGTCACCTCAGCGGCCAGCATCGGTTGTGCGGGAGGTTTATAAACCGCCGCCGTCCACGCAAAGAAAACGTCGCCGTCTGATCGATACCCTTGCCTCTCAGATCGAAGACGAGTCTTCCTCGGATGAGGAAGCCAAACCGGCCGAAGACCCCGCTGCAAAAGACGAGAGCGACGGCAATGCAAGTAGCGACGAAGACCCTATCTTGGCGAGATACCGAAATGTACGCAGCACGCCCGTTAGCGAGGGCCCGGGAGGGCACATGGACTTGGACAGCCTGGCGACAGCGTCGCCCAGCAAAGTCTCGATCGCTCCATCGACGCCGGCTACGATCACGCGGCGCACCACGACAAGACGGCCCGGGGTCAAGTTTACATACAACCTGGAGAGAACGATTTTGGCAGAGGAGCCGGTGGAACTGGGTGGACCTCAGGGCAGCGATCTGTCGCTGTTGGAGAGCCTGCTTCCTGAGCCCGAAGCGAAGCCGGCTGCGTTTGACTTTGACGAGGATATGGGTGGGGCATCACAAGGTGCCATCCAGAGCATTCACGAGCTTCGCCAGGCGGGCGCCAATAGCCGGTATGCCGACGAGCTGGTCGACATCATGGATCGCGTTGGTGCGCCGAGCTCTGGCAAGCCATCGTCGGCCAGACGTTCCGCGCTCCTCGAGATGGTCCACAAGCTCCAGGAAAAGTCCTTCCTACGCCATTTCAGGGACCACGGTGCCGAGATGCAGCTGTTCCGGAATGTTGGGAAGGAAACAGACGTCGTTGCTGGATATGCCATTGCCGGTATTGTCGTCACGCTTCTGGCTAGTGGCTCAGCATCTCACCGCCTCTTGCGCGAGCTCCGGCAGCAAAAAATAAAAGACCTCTTCCTGACTCTCCTTGCGACCGACTCGGATATTGTGAGCTTCTCGAAAGATCGGAAAGCCAATGTCTCCAACCATATGCGCCAGCAGCTGGGCACGCTCAAGGAGACACTAAGGAAGCTGTCGGCCATTTGGAAGCCTGCGTCTGGCCCTCCATCGCAGCTGTCGCCACGGACGGTGTCATTGAAGGCTCTGCACATGTTTGCGCAGCAACTGCAGTCCGAATCTGGTGGTGTGAGTGGCATCGACGAGGACGACGGCGCTCTATCTGCGGCACTCACCAAGGAACTGTTTGGTATTATTTCGTCTGCTCTTCCCTCAGCTTACGACGACGACGGGTCGACACCTGAGTCCCCGCTTCTGGCGTCTGGGCTATCGAGCGATGCCGACTCAGCGGATCTGTTCCTGTCGCTGTCCCTTTTGGAGATGCACTCCGTGTCAGCTATGCAGTCTGACATCAGTGCCGAGTGGACGCGGCACTACCTACCAATCATCGCCAGCGCGTTAGGCGAATCCCTGGAGCGCCATGAACAGAGCAGTCTACGCCTTAACGACCTCGAGCTGCTGGTTTTGAAGCTGGCGCTTAACACGGCCAACAACAACCCAGATGCTGCACGATACTATGTGGACAAGGGCTTGCTGCGGCAGCTAGCGGAACTGAGCTCCGGCGCCCTTGCTGGTGTTGTTCGCTCGGCGAAGACGGGCGAAGAGTTTGCCTCTGACGCACTGAACGAGCTGCTGCTCATGCTCGGTGTGATGATTAACTTTTCGGAGAACGATGCTGCTGCGGGCGAGACCCTGGAGCAGGGTGGTGGCCTGGCCGTTTTTGACCGGCTGGGCAAAGCGTTCCTTGACGGCACTGCGGTTGCATCTGAGGTGAGCCTTTCTGCCTTCATTTTTGTCACTGCAATGACTGCTATTGTGGTGTTTTTTTTCCCCTGCTACTAAATGCGAATGCTAACGTAATGTAGGCCGACTCGGAAGAAAAGTCACAGCTTAACGTGGCATTTGCGTATCTCTCTATTCTACTCGGCTACCTCTGTCTGCATGACCCCATCTACCAGGCTTTCAAACTGCTTTCTCCGAGCGGCAACCTCAACCCTCTTCTCGAGTCGATCCGGCAATTCATCACTCTGCATGACCAGATCGGAAAGGCCGAAAACTCGGAGCACGGCGCAGAGGCTAGCCAGTTCACAGCCCGCCTCCGGGCGCTGACCCAAGAGCTGGATGCCCGATCGTACTAAGGGGAGAGTGGCTGTTGTGTTCTTTTCTGACGTCCTGGATTTTCTTTTCTTGTACAAATATCACGACTTTCAAACAGCTGCGGCGGAAAAGAGCGAAAATAGAGGTCGGTGGAGTGGAGGGCGCTGGTGGCATGATGGGCAATAAGGGAGCTCACCAGCTTCAATTCTTTTGGTGTTTTTGAGAAAGGGAGATGCGTTGCTAAAGACATGGGATACCCCCTTGTTTATTTTTCTTTTGCCTTCGCGCTGGTTTGCAACAATATGAAATGATTCATGCCCCAGACCCAACTCAGGTACTCGTATTGAAGTCATGCAAACGGGGTTTCGATTTTGTAGACATTGGGTTTCTAGTATCAACATTCTCTGGCGTTTCGCACCTCACCAATCTTCACACAAGCCTTGAGAGCTCACTCATCCGTATAACGAGGTCATTCCACCGAGCGGCGGATCGACAAGACAGTCGACACGTAGATCTGCTACAAGACTGAGAAGAGACTGTCGAGATTCGTTTGACAAACATTTTTTATATTTGTTTGCTCTGTATGTTGTCATTACTGTACTTTTGCTCAGCGCCAAGCTTGTGTTAGTGGTTGGCAGCCCCATTTCACGTGAACACTTTGGTGCTTGGGCGCAGATGCTTTTGGTCATCCAGGCCGTGTTGCTTCCGTACCGCACTTTCCCACCCTTGCGCTGTTGAACAGCTGACCGCTGGCGAGTACCTTTGTGTAAGACAAACAAACATGCAAACAGACGGAAAGACGGAAAGACGGGCACGGCTCATTACAGCCTTCCAGACGATGGAGACGAATCAGAGAAACAAAGGCTCGTTTGCGCCTTCCCGTAAGCCCATATCATGAGCTGTCCAAATTAGCCAGGTGCAAACGACAAAAGAGGGGAATCGCAATCCAGTAGTTCATGATAGTTGGGAACTTGTTGCAATTGGTAGCGTCAGATCAACCTAGAGCCACGTAGATGCCAACAAAGAGAGCGGTCGTCTAACGTAGGTGATCAACACAAACAAACGTCTGCACCCGTGTGGCGCTTTTGGTGAAGAGGTTCCTGCCTTGGGCTAGACCATGGTGGGCAGGTAGGGGGCCTGGCGCCGTTCGCACCTTCCCCTACTCCATCCTTTTTCTACCTTGCCATCTTTCGCCTCTTGCGTTTCTCGTTTCTCCTGTGACTACTTTGTCTATATTCTTCCGCTTCCCCTTTCCGAAGAAACGTCTCAGCCGCCTTCCTCCTCTCTCTTGTAAATTCACCGCCATATCTCCAATACATCTCCCATCACGTCGCGAATTCCAGGACCTGACAATCTGGGAATCGCCAAAATCCCCCACCGAAGTTCTTTTCAGGTGCCTGGGAACCAGATCGCATCGGGCTTTGTAACGTTTTCTTGATTCGTCCTTTTACCAGGCCAATCGCCGATTTCTTCCTTTGGGCGCCGGTTTGCCATCTTTCTTTAGTCTTTAAGCTTCTTCTCAACTCTCCAACTCTCGCTCACCCAGCTTTTTTGCAACGCCGCGCAAACAAACAACGAGTTGTTTTGTCGTTCACCGCCGCTTCGCGTCCACTTGACGAATTTCGTTGTCGCAGAACCGTGAACTTCCTAAACCGGGCTCCCCTCCTCACCTTGCCTGTTCCAGCGGTGCCTTGCATATCGCAAAACGACAACTCCCCCTCCGATCCCTTCTTTCTAGAAAACCTGCGCGCCCACCTGCAGCGGCCACCCCCACGCGCCTCTGTTTCAGCCTTTTGAAATGCCATCACCGTCCAAGCAGCGGAAAATCGCCATCGTTGGCAGCCGCTCTGTCGGTATGTCTTTGCTTTGCAGCCTTCTGCATTTGCTTTCTGCATTCTGCATAGATGTCTTCCGGCCTTCTTCTCCACTAACATGTCTAGGCAAATCTTCTTTGGCGGTCCGCTACGTCGAGGGACACTTTATCGAGAGCTACTACCCGACCATTGAGAACACGTTCAGCAAGGAGATCCGCTACAAGGGCCAGGAGTACGCCACCGAGATTGTCGACACCGCCGGCCAGGACGAGTACAGCATCCTCAACTCGAAGCACTTTATCGGCATCCATGGCTACGTGCTCGTCTACTCGGTCGCCTCCAAGCAGTCGTACGAGATGATCCACGTCATCCGCGATAAAATCCTTGACCATCTCGGCGTCAGCTGGGTGCCCCTGGTCATTGTCGGGAACAAGAGCGACCTGCGCCCCGAGCAGCGCCAGGTCACTGTGGAGGATGGCAAGAAGCTGGCCGAGAAGTTTGACTGCGCCCAGATCGAGGCCAGCGCGCGCTTTGACACCAACGTGGCCAAGGCCTTTGAGCTTCTGATCGGCCAGATCGAAAAGGCACAGAACCCCAACGAGCCGCAGGACGGTGGAAAGTGTGTGGTGATGTGATCCCTGATCGATATTGGTTGCGGTTGCGTGTTTTAGAGTTTGGGGTTCTTCGTCCTTGCATCCCGTCCTTTCGACCCTTCCTTTCTCGCGTGCCCCTTGTAGATGGTAATTTGCGGATGGACTACGGAGTATACATGGTGTTATGTTATTTTGCATATGGGCAACAGGAGGGTCTGCCTTACACTTGCATTCTTTTGTTATTTTTCTTATGCTTCGTCTTGCATATTTTGCGCTTCATTTGCATCTAGTCTTGCTTCCTTGCATTCGCGCCTCTTCTGTATATGGCGGGACCAGGGAGAGATCTTTACGTTTTCTGCTCGAGATTCTCGGATAGGACAATCCAATACCATTACTTGCACTCTTTTGTCTATGTCTTTCTTTCATTGTATGTCGTGCAGCCTGTCTAAACGAAGTGGCTGCCCGCAGACCGTTTGAGACAGCCGTGTCTCACTTGGCATAATCACCACTGCACATTCATACGCATACGCAATTTACAATTAGCAGGTACTGAAATCACGATGCAATTCTCACGAACAAAGACGCTGGCAAGCTGTTGAATGGTATTCTGTAAAGTACAGCCATCCTGTATCCATACTCGATTTTTCAGTGTTTGCTGCGTTATCGCTCGAACGTGAGGGGCACCCGTTATCGCGCCAAGGCTGGCCCATGCTTTCGAGCTGTATAAACAAATAACGCCGTGCTCCGTGCAGGGGGGCGGGCACGGCTGGCCTGCCCGCGGCCAGCGCAGCTTGCACCCCACCAAGCTAGCGTTCCAGGCCCTGTAGTTCTGGTCGCAACATTTACCTTACCCTTTTTGGCTCATACAGACCTCACATACAAACCCAACTTAGCGCACCATGCCCCTCCTTCGGCTTCAACAACCAGTGCCCTGGCCCTCAGTTGGACGAAGGCGCCGCGCCAGTAGCCCAAAGTAATTGGACAGCGCCAAAAAAACGAGCCCGTCCAAAAAACTAGATTGGCCTGATCGTTCAGCTTTGTTTGGCAAAACGAACAACGACCTCCTCCGCGAACCTCAACTTTCGTCCCGACTGTTTTGCAATCAGGCTCCGTTTGGTGCTGCTCCTGCCGTCCCAAATTTGTACGTAACGACCTCTCATCCTACTCTTTATGCTCCTGCCCCTCTTTCGTCACTTGTGTTCTCTGACTCTTACAAAAAGCCAACAGCATCGCTGCATCGCCGCATCGCCGCATCGCATCACGACCTTTTTTTTGGCCCCCGACCGCCCTACTCACCAAAGCTCCAGAACTTCGAACTTTGAGACTAACAACCCCGGCCCAACATGCTCGACGTTCTCGATCTTATTGTTGAGCGCGGCGGCAATCCGGCTGCCGTCAAGGAGAGCCAGCGCGTGCGTCTTTTCTTCCTCTTTGGTCTCCGCCGTTTCACGTCACGAGAGGCAACTCTTCGTGGTGCATTTTGGCGCCCTGTACCGGTCCGACTGGGCTAACGTTTCTTGCAGCGCCGTTACGCGGACCCCGATGTGGTCGATAAGGTTATTGAGCTGTGGCAGGACCACCGTCGAACCCTCTACGATGCTACGCAGTATGTGACTTCTACGGTTCTTGGTTTGGCGCATTGCATGGACAACTTGCTGACAGACGACCTTTTCTCTTTCTAGACTCAATGCCAAGATCAACGATATCCGTACGAACCGCCAGCCTGTCCTTTGTCCTCCCTCATCACCATATGTCTAACAGAAACCTCCCCTACCCCCAGAGAAGCAGATTGGCGCAAAGAAGAAGGCCAAGGAGAACGCCGACGACCTCCTCCAGCAGAAGATTGCGACCGAGAAGCAGAAGAAGGACATGCTCGACTCTGCCGCCGTCAAGGAGAAGGCCATGAACAAGGCCCTTGGCACCATTGGCAACCTCATCCACGACTCCGTCCCCGTCGACAACAACGAGGACAACAACCCCATCATCACCACCTGGGTACCCGCTGACCGCGAAGTTGCCGTTGGCGAGGAGGACCGCAGCAAGCTGTTGTCGCACCACGAGCTGCTTCTGCGCATTGACGGCTACAACCCGGAAGCCGGTGTCAAGGTGGTTGGTCACCGCGGCTACTTCCTCAAGAACTGGGGTGTAAGTGGTATCCCGATTCTGTGACATTTTTGGCAGTGGTTTGTTGGTCGCCATGCTAACACTGGATTTCAAAATAGGTCTTCCTGTAAGATATACATTATACTTGCCCTTGTTTTTTTTTTTTTTTTTTTTTTTTTTTTGTGAAGAATAATTTTCATCGACTTACCAAAAGAAACTAGGAACCAAGCCATTATCAACTGTAAGTTTTACAACTGTTGGGCATCCGTCAAATTACCCTTGTATACTGACACGATTTAGATGGTCTGGAGTTCCTCACACTAAAGCATGGCTACACTGCCCTGCAGTCGCCATTTATGATGTATGTTGGACCTCAACCTCCTATGATAGTGTTGGATCTCATCTTCTAACACATTTCAGGTCAAAAGAGATCATGGCGCAAACAGCCCAGCTTGACGACTTTGAGTACGTTCGGAAACCATCGTTTGACTTTTGGCCGAGTCGAGAGGTAGCAAGCTGACCATTACAACAGTGAGCAACTCTACAAGGTTGTCGACGGTGACTCTGAGAAGTACCTGATTGGTAAGAATTTTTATTTATTTATATACATTTGTGATACCAGGGCGCGTGGCTAACTCAACGACTTGTAGCGAGTGAGTACTCTCTAAACTTTCCGGTCTGAGGTTTATCACACAGGACAAGCTGACTAGGCGTCCAGCTTCGGAGCAACCGATTTCTGCCTACCACTCCGGCCAGTGGCTCCAGGCAAATGAGATGTAAGGCACTTCCATACGCAATTCCATATAGGAAGACTTTCTCTAACCATTTACTACAGGCCGATCAAGTACGCTGGCTTCAGCACATGCTTGTAAGTAACCATGCGTTGTCCGTACTTCCTCCGAAAGCCTTTGAAGGCTAATTCATCACACCTCAGCCGTCGCGAGGCTGGCTCACATGGCAAGGATGCGTGGGGCACGTTCCGCGTTCACCAGTTCGAGAAGGTCGAGCAGTTTGTTCTGTGCGGTATGTATCTGTCTACTCGCCGAGAGACACCGCCTCCCACGGCCTATTCACTCACCACTTACACTTTTGCTAGACCCCGAAAAGAGCTGGGAGCAGTTCGATGCTATGATTGCCAACTCAGAGGAGTTTTGCCAGTCTCTGGGCCTCCCCTACCGCGTTGTCGCCATTGTCAGCGGTGCCTTCAACCAGGCTGCCAGCAAGAAATACGATCTTGAGTATGTCGCTGGTCAACCCCTACTTCGTGGTATGACTTGTGCTAATTCGGCTCCAGGGCTTGGTTCCCCTTCCAGGCGGAGTACAAGGAGCTTGTCTCCTGCTCTAACTGCACTGACTGTATGATATGACTCCAGGACCCTAATTACCCCGAGGAATATTTGCTTATATGTAAAAACAGACCAGTCTCGCGCCCTGGACATCCGCTACGGCCCGAAGACCCAGACTGATGGTAAGTGTGCTGTTTTATAAAGTACCCTTATTATGACTTGAATATGTACTAACTTCGTCTCTAGTCAAGAAGAAATACGTCCACTGGTAGGTGGATGCTTGAACATATGCGCTGCAATGTGACAAAATATGACGTTGTTCTGACCGTATACCAGCCTGAACTCTACCCTGACCGCTACCAGCCGCACCATGTGTAAGTTTCCGGAGGTTTCACACCCAAGGCGTGGGGGATTGGTGGATATGCTTTTGTGATACGAGGAATAGTGATATGCTAACAAAGTCAGGCGCTATTCTCGAGAACTTCCAGACGCCAGAAGGTGTGCGCGTTCCGGAGCCCTTGCGCAAGTACCTACCTGGGTAAGTGACTTGCGCCGCTCTTCAAAATCAAAAACATGAGGGAGAAATAGAAGGTCGTGCTGACAACGACAAATAGTGCTCCCGACTTCATTCCCTTCACCAAGGAGCTCCCCAAGGACTCTACCTCGCAGAAGAAAGCCAAGGCCGCCGAGAAAGGCGCCAAGCCCAAGGTCGCCGCGGCTGCCGGTGCTGTTGCAGCCGAAGTCGGCAAGGCGGCTGATGCGCTGAAGAACGTCAAGGTCTAGAAGGACAACGACGGTCGACCAGTAAAATTGCAACGCAGGTAAAGTAAAAAACGAGAATCCATCAAAGAAAAAAGAAAAAACGCCAAAACGGGGCGCCGTTTAGCGAAGGGGGGCAAGCATGCGAAGCGAGTGATCGATGCCGAAAAGGCCCATACCACTTACACCAATGACGACCCCGACAACCTTGTTTTGGGTTTGCACAGCCGGTTGGTTGAGTTGTGTTGGGGGGTGGGCGTCTGTATTCTGGTAACACAAACTGGGTTGCTTTGATTTGGCCAAAAAGGAAGTTGAAGTGCGAGACGTGCTGCAGCTCAGACAAGACAAGAAAATAAACTTTTTTTGTGGTAGTCAAAATTTCAGCTACATCCACTATATGTCCCGGCAAGATATAAAAAAATGAAGGGAAAGCCAAGCTTCATGAAAAGGGTAACCGGCCGGCTTCAGGTTCAACAACCTGAGACTTGAGCTCATATATAATAACACCGTGTGTGTCTCAAAAAGCTCGTATGCCCATTTTGGCAACCTCCTGTCCAAAACGCTCACAGGGCTGAACTCCCAATGTTTCTCGACCGCATCTCGTCGTTTTCATTGCCATTTATTGGCGGGCGGGGACCATTCGGACTTGACAGGAAAGACGAGACTACAGTCCGTATCAAAGGAAAAAGAAGACCGGTAAAAGCGAACAAGGTATGGGCCTGTCGAGAGTTGTGCAACCGTGTTGAACATCACTCTTCTTACCTGAGCCGTAATACCGCTTTGTGGTACATAAGCGCCCCAAGGCACAAAAGCTACGAAGGGGACGGGCGGCTGGGATGGAAATAAAAGCCAGTGGTGGCACGAACGGGCAAATGCGTTTTCGTAGTCTCTGCCCGTTTGGCAGCGCATATATGAAAGGAACAGACGTACGACGTACGGCGTACCAGCAAAACCGGGGTACCGTTCCTAAGAGGCTGGCAGGCGGTGCGCTTCTTGGGGCGAGAACAGACGTGATTGTCGTGTTCTCGATGGCGATATATGGCGAATGTAATGAAGAAAATGCTTGCAAGAGTGGCATTGCCGGCTTTGCCAAACGGGGAAGTCACAACGGAACAGACTGACGGTTGATGTGGGAAGGGGAAACGTCAAGGCACGGAAAGAACGGGTGGAATGGCCGGATAGAGCGCCGTCCGTAATTGCCTTGTTTTTATTACGAATGGCGAAGAAATGCGTTGTACGGAAGGTGCGAGTGGGACAGACAACATGAATCCGAGCTCGGTTTTACTGCTTGCCGTATGTGCCCTGGACAAACGATTGCATCCGTTCGCATTCCCGCCCAGTCCGACATGAAACGGGGTGAGAAAAAAGACATGTACGAGGAGGAAGTATTGCGCAACATTGAACCGGGGCAAAAAAATAAAAAATGCACACTTTCGTCGGTGAGTTCGTGAAATACAGCATATCAACGAAAGAATTATGCTAAAATGAGGCGTACAACGGGCTGAGCAAAGAAGGAACGGCCCAGTTGCACAGGTTCCTCCTATTCATGTCCGTTTATTGCTGTTTTCTGTTTAAAGGGGAAAGAGGTATTATTATTAGGGATCGTACGTCGATAAATTGGTAATACGGGACTACCAATCGCTACTTCCCGACCGGAGCAATAAAGAAGATAAAACAAGAACAGGAAAGAAAACACGTCATATGCAAAAGGCGGGAAGGAGCGGTCGACAGTCAAACAACAACGCGGAAGGCATGCCACGACACGCTCCCAGAAGAGTCCAGTCGATGTGTACAATTGGGTGCGACCATTTTTCTTTCTTTCAACGCGACATGCCAAAACACCCTTTAACCCAACGCCTTTTTCTTTGCCCCTTTTCCTACTATGCATATAATAGTATCCATCTCATCCTACGACACTCCTCCTAAGTTCATATACACTACCGAATCCGACTACATCTCGCCTACTTCTCTTTGACCTGACCTTCAGGATTCTCGTCTCCTGCATTCGACGGATATTTTTATTTTTACCCGAACTTTTAGTTTCTATTCTCTCTGATTTCGATATATTGGCCTTTACCTTCTTTGCTTTGATCTATCTGCTGCCTATACCGTACGCGTTTCGTCGTACTCTCCTAAAGGCACAAAAACGTCAGATGCAGCTTTCGAAATAGCTAAGCTACGCTGTGCAGCTCCGCTAACTGTGAACAACAAAACTGTATTGCAAACTGCACCGGCAAGATCCGCCTCCACACGGCATGAACTAGCCTGGACCGACTAAGATCCAACAGTACGGCAGTGCATTCTCCACCAGCTTCCAGCTTCTTTTTGGCGGGTGATTGCAACTGCCATTGCGACAGGCTAGGCCAATGACGCAGGAAGCGCAAACGAAGCGAAAGCATCGGCCTCGGTGCTCAAATGGGGTTCCCTCCAAGGCTACAGCCGCTGTTGCAGCCCACGAACAAGCTGAGGTGGTAGGCGCTATTTTATCCTGCCCCTTTTGTGGTTTCTTTTCAGCAGAGTACAGTCTGTTGCTGGTGAGTTTCGTTGCATTCTGTCTCCAAAATCGCTTTACCCCCTCTCCGTCTTTTTCTTACATTTGCGTTCCTTTTTTATTGCAACCTACGAACGTGCAGAAGCTGTTCTCCATTTGATCCTTGGCTAACACTTGTGGAACTCCAGAAGCACGTGGGCCACGAGCATCCAGAAGACAACTGCCCACAATATTGTGGTAGCGGCTCGAATAGTAGGCTTGCGAGCTCTGGCATCGGCCAGGCTAAGGCCGTGCATCTACGGTCAAGAAAGAAGATGGGAGAATCTCCTGCGTCACGGCCTGCATCTGTTGGTGTTAATGCAACCTCTGTCGTCATCAACGGCTTTCCAGACGACAGTGACAGCATGAGCGACAATGATGAGAGAAATGGTAACGAAGAGCCCCAGTTTGCAGACTGTCCCGTGGACGGGTGTCACGAGTCGGTGATTGTATCAGAGATGGCCTACCACGTTGATCTACATGCGGTCCTGGAGTACCAAGACACGCCAGTGGAGGACGGCGATGCCATCAGCAAGGGCAAAGAGAGCGTGAAGACATTGGCTGTGGCACCCAAAGTGGCGAACCCATCCCGGACGCAGGCACGGGCGCTCAATATTGACGGCGGCGCACATGGCACGCAGTCGGTGAGGGCGTCATCAGTTCCACCCCCGCAGCGGAGACCACAACGCACGGCCTCGCGAAAGTCCACGGACTCGTCTCGGTCCGTTAATGCCGGGGGGCGTTCGGATACTAAAGAGAGCCGGGAGGAGGTCGCTTCCACCCCTCAGCCACGCGACGACAGCCGTGAGCGGCACCGTGAGCGGCGGGAGCACCAGCGGAACCATGACCTACATAGCCGTGGCCGTGGCCATGGCCGAATCCACACAGGCGAACTGGGTCTTTCCACGCTGGGACAGAGCGGTGGCTCGCATCAAACATTCCTGTCTCGCAAGCCCTCGAAGACTGTGCGTTCTTTCTTGGCCATGTTCTCTGGCGATCCTCGGAAGCGTGCTTACTCTGAGCAATCTGACCGGGGACGCGGGGACCGGGACAAGGAAAAGGACAAGGCTGTCATACCGCTTGCCTATCGGCATCGGCATTCTTCGAGCACTAAGAACAGCACTGCCAAAGCGATGGAGGCCGTGTCAGAAGTCCCAAAGCGCCTCGGTAAGGCCGAGCTTGGCAAGTTTGCGAATGAAGAACGGATGCCGGACGCGCTCGCAATCTACCTCAAGACCGAATGGGGTGTCCGCCACGAAGGTAAGCCAGCAATCGGAGGGTCAAGAAGGGTGCCCTATATATTTCTCTGACACATTTCACCAGGCATGATTCCTTTCCTCCAGGGTCTTCTTGAGCAGAACCCAACTACTGAGTATGCCTATCTCTGCGACCCTTGTGTCGTGCACGTGTCTAGGTTACCCAAAGAAGGTGTGCATGCCCTTGGTTCCTCACGACTCTATTTTGAAACAACGACAAGCTGACGCTGTGTAGGCGGCTTCTGTGGGTATCGTAACATCCAAACAATGACCTCGTATATTGTTGGAGCCAAGTTTCCTGGCCATGAGGCGTTCCCCAAAGACCTGCCGAGTGTGTTTGACCTTCAAAACCTGATTGAGAGTGCGTGGGACAAGGGCATCAACTCCCGAGGCCGCATTGAAACGGGCGGCATCCGCCTGACACGCAAGTACATCGGCACGCCCGAGGCCGTAGCTTTGTTCCAGAGTCTTAGTATTCCTTGCAGCATAAACGCCTTCAAGCATAAGACGCCAGAGAAGTCGAGAGACGCACTGCTGCGCGACGTGGAGCACTACTTCAGCAAGGGCTTCTACTTGCCAGGGCAAAAAGTGCGCAGCACGACGTTGCCGCCGATTTACTGGCAGCACCCGGGCCATTCGCTCACGATTGTCGGCATCGAGAAGACCACCACAGGCGAGATGAACCTGCTCGTATTCGACCCTATTTTCCGCAACGGCTCGACTATGACCCGTTTTGTATCTCGCCAACAGCGGCTGGATGACCAGCTTCTACGACCATACCGCCGTGGTACGCGGTACCTGGCACGGTACCGTGCATTTGAGATTCTCAAGTTCGTTGTCTGTCTGTTTACGTCAGTGGACCTGATGTGCATAAGGCTAACAGGGCGTAGGTTGCAACCAATGGCAAAAGACTATGACTACGATGCTTCTGCATCGAATAGTCCAGCGGTACCTATCCCTTCAGCGTCATAGCGAAAGCGCAAAGAGTACATGGTATCTTATGGAGACGATCATCGTGCCCATAAATGGGTGTCTGAGACATATGCAGCGCACCTGCCTACACAAGCAAAAACACACTAAGCGCATCGTTTATTGTTACAGGAAGAGCGACATAAAAGCGTTTGATTTCCATTGATTTCTTTTTTGGGGGGAAAGGGAGTTAATTTTGGGGTTTTGATGAGTGCTATTCTTCCCCCTTTGGCATTGGGTATCGCATTGAGCCTCTATTTGGTTTGAATTCTACTTGGTATCATGTCATGAGCCTGTGAGTGTGTTGTTTTCGGCTCTGTTACCTCCACGCTCACGCGCTTACCTCCTTGGAGAAGTAATCCCGGAGCTTCTGCAACGCCTTGTAGCGGTGGGAAATAGTGTTCTTCTTGGCCTTGTCCATCTCGGCATACGTCTCACCCTCGTACTCGAAGATGGGATCCCAGCCTGGAGACTGTCAGTGTCTGAGCGCGGCGAAATATGAATGCGGCGAAGGAAACTCACCAAACTTGGCCGGTCCGCGGGCAGGCACAATCTTTCCCTCCGTCACGCCCTGGAACAGGACCGGCTCCTCTCCGGGACCCTTGCAGTAGGCAAACGTGCATACCGCCTTGGCCGACTTGTCCTCTTGGCCGGCCAGCAGCTTATTGAGGCCGTCATGGCCGAGGCTCGTCATGAACCATTTGCTAGAGCTGTTAGACGGAGCATTCCAGTGACTGAGAAGGATGCCCTTACTACTCACATGTAAGCACCAGGCAGGCCGTTGAGGGCATCAAAGCACAGGCTCGTGTCCTCGACCAGCACAGGGCCCTGGATCAGCTCCACGGCGCGGCGGCACTTGTCCAGCGTGATCTCCTCCATGGAGCCGGCCTGGATCTCAACCAGATCGACCTTGCGGCTGGTCACTGTGATGGACGGCTCCAGGATGGCCTTGACCTCAGCAAGTTTGTTGGCATTGCCAGTGACAAAGTTGAGGACAATCGGAGACGCCATGACTGGTGCGGAGGTTGAATTCAGGATGAGATTGAAGAGGAAGAAAGGGGAGAGGTGCTTTTTTGAAGCGAGGCAAAAGAAAAGACGATTAGAGTAGTGCAATGGATGACAAACAGGAAGCAGGCTTTGAATTCTCGAATTCAGGACGTGCCAAGGCTGAAGCTGCAACGTGATGCGGGTGGACGCTGATACGCTGCAACGCGAGCGTTATGGCGGTGACAGATAAGAAAAATTGTCGATGCGCCGCCATTGCCTTAATGGCCGCTAGCGGGGACACACATTCTCTTGGGAACGAGCTGCTTTTGTCAGCTAAACCAACGTATTTACATTTTACATCGCCCGTATGTTGTACGACCCGTCCGCAATCAGCCCATCTCATCCCGTCTCATCTCATCTTTTCACTTTACATCACACTACTATCTCTTCACGATTTCGGTTTGGTATAGTCATATCATCCTTTATCTCTATCTAGGTGCCTCCAGTCCCGCCAGTGAGTAAAAGAAAACGCCGTACCATTGCATGCCATAGAAACCCAGAAACTTTTGTGCAACTATTGTGAACGCAAACAAGAAAAAACATTGAAAAAAAATTAAAAAAAATAAAAATAAAAATAACAAGGCAAGACGGTTGCAAAAGAGGTTGTCTCCCACCCCTACTCATCCGCTTTGTCAATGCCCTGGTCCTTGCGCCACTGGGCCACCCACGCCACGATCCGGTCCACATTGGCCTCCATGTCGTCCGGCGTGTTGGACGCTAGCTCCACGACCATGCCCTCGTCAAAGGCGTCGTGCGCTTCCTGGAGGAGCACCTGCATGATCTCGGCATCAATGTTTTCCTGCATCTTGGCCTCGGGGTATTTTCTAGACAGGTTGTTAGTAACGGGAAAAACTCGATAGAAAAAGAAAAGAAAAAAAAAAGAAAAAAAAAAACTACAAAGTGCGAAGACCAAAGTTGTTACCTCAATGCCAACCGATCATATAGTGACTCGGTGTCGGCCGTCAAGACGACGACAAGGTCGACCCAGCTCACCGGGAACAGGTCGCAGGCGTGCCAGTCGACAATGCAGCCGCCGCGCTCGCTGGTCATGTCCGGCTCGAGCTCGTCGAGCAGGCGGTCCTCGTCGACAAGCCAGCTTTGGTACTCGGCGTCCCAGCCGTCATGGCAGTTGCGGTCGCGGACGACGTCGTTGACGGCAATATGGTGAAGCTCGGCCAGCACGGCGTCGCTGGAGCCGTTCGAGGCTGGAGCGGCGCCGGCTGTGCTGGCGGCCGCGGCTATGCGTGTGGCAAGTGCCTCGCAGTGCGTGGTCTTGCCGGTCCCAGGCGTGCCGGTGATGATGATGTTGGGGTTGCGCCGCGGCGGAGCGGCGGGAGCCTCATCCGCCATTGTGTGTGCTTGACGTGGGAGATAAAGTATGATATATACGCGAATGTGATGAGGTTGTTATTGAGACGGATAGCTTTCTCAAGCAACAATAAATAAGATCTGATGATAGATGGCCAGTCGCCGGTATTTCGACAAAACAAAGAGTGAAATACTAAACGTCCAGTGTTCTTCTTTGCGTTCAGGTTATTGGAAATGCAGTGGTAAGAAGGTAAGTAGCAAATGTCGTCGCATGTTGACTGAACGGCAGATTTTTACCCCATTAAAAAGTGAAAATCGACAGCCGGCCAATCACGTGCCGCGAAAGTCAACCTTTAACATCGCGACAATCCTCAACCATTGTCACATTGAACTCATGCATTTTCACTCTACTAATGAAATATATGCACGATTTAGTAAGATAGAGGTAATTTGAAGTCAAATTCATGTCGCGTCTTTCTATTGCTACCGCCAACGCTCAAAAAGGGGATTTGCCGCCTGTCTATTGCGATCGACTTGTTCAGCCCGTTTTCTTCGTCAGACTGACGACGACGGACCAACCAAGACTAGGATCAAACACACAAGAAGAAGAATGGAGATGGAATGGTGTTTAATATGTAGTAATGGACAAAAGGGTCAACGGAAAAGGACATGGGTACTGAAAAAAAAAACACGCCAGAATCGAGTGGAGCGGGATAAGCCAGTAACCAGTTCCTCCAAGAAAAAGCAGAATCTGCAATGCCAAAAAAGTATAAAACAAAAAAGCACAAGAATTTGAGAATGTCTCAAGAGTGGGATAATGGGATGGGGATGTGAAAAGAGAAGAGGGTGGAATAAATAGAAGCAAAAAACACCTCCAGCTAGCCGACAAAGCCAAAAGAGATTTGCCCCTTCCGAATGAGAAAAAAAATCTAGCTAATACAATGTGATTGTGCAATTTCCTCCCAGTCGGTTTTTTCTCTGTCATCATCGTACAAAATGTGCAAGTGTGGTTCACTTTCGTTTTCTTCAAAGGTAGAGCTCAGCTGAAGCCCTGTCCGCGGCTGTATCCGCCTGAAATTCAGCGACTTGTGAATCCGGTTGACCTTGCCGGTTTTTTTGTTGAATGTCTTCCTGTTGCGGCTTCGACCACGGCTCATACTGCGGTTACTATCAAATGGTGCAAGAAGCACTGTGGTCGGAGAGTCCTCGGGTTGGGGCAGCCTGGACCGAAGTCCCAGAGTCGCTCTCTAGGCGCTGGCCTCAATGGCCTCGGGCATCTCGTCCACATCGGCGAGCTCCGGCTGCTCCTCGTACTCCATGTCCTGCTTCTCTTGAGCAATTGCCTGCGCCGAGACGATCTCAGCCAGGCGCTTGAGTCTCGGAGTCTGCAGCCACGACGGCGTATATGTCTCGAGAGCCATAATCACACGCGGCTCGGCAATCTCGTACGGGCCACTGTCGTCCATATCGACAGCCTGCAGCAATAGGACATCGCCCTTCTCGTTGACCTTGGAAGCAACAGCCTTCATGATCTCGCCATTAATGGGCTGCTCGTAGTCGGCGACCAGGTACTGGTTCAGTAGCTTCTGAATCTGGTTGGGTGAGAGCCTAGAAGGCAGTCAGTATCTAAATGTGACTCCACGTATTCATGTAGGACGATCAACTTACATCCAGCAGATATCTTGGATAATCTCAATATCGTTCAAGGTTGCCTTCTTGAGCTGCAGGAGCTTTGTTGCTTGCTAGAAAAGAACACAAGTTAGTCGTGAGTTTCATGAGTCGAAACCAGGCACGGCTCGTCACATACCATCAAGTGCTCCAGCTGGAGCGTGCCCTCGGGCATGTCGTGGCTCTTGCACCACTCCTCAATACGGGTAATGTTGTAGTTGATCTGGAGACCACGTTTCCAAGAGAGGAAGTTGCGCCGCATCAGAAGGTCGTTGAAGGCGGTCACACCGACAAGGCGCAGCAGCTCCGTCACCGTCTGCGTGATGATGCTGTCCTCCAGGTAGTACGCCTTCATAGCGCGGTACACGCTGTTCAACAGACTGAGAAGGTTGTCCATGCTGTAGGCAGGAGCCGAGTTCGACTGAAGCAGCTTGCCAAGGAACCGGTTGTTCTCGTTCGTAACGAAGCCGGGAAGGGACTGCGACTCAATGATGGCCGGGATGATCATCTTCTGCAGTCTCTTCTTGAGCACCTTCATCCAGGTGTGGTAAATGTTGAACTCAAGACTCTCCAGGTCGTGTTTTACGATTTCAAGAAGGCGGTCGTACTCGTAGTTGTCCGTCTTCTGCTGCTCATACCAGTCTTCCGCCAGGAACACAAACGAGAGCATCTCGTGCACGTTGGACAGCCAGAAGGCGCCAGGGTTGATAGCGTCCTCGCCATCGTGCTCCATCACTTCCTGCTGGATTGACTGCATCACATTGGCCAGGAAGCGCTCCGACTCCTTGACGAAGCCGTTGTTCCACATCTCCGACGTGACCAGGTTGATCAGGTACGAAGGGAAAAGCACCTCCTTGTCCGAAGGCGGCGGTGTCGTGTTCGGCGACGGGATCTTCAGGTTGCGGATCAGGCCGAGAGTGACCTCCTCGTTCAGACCCTCCTCGTCGGCCAGCAGGCCTTCGAGCTCGAGCTCCACGTTGTCGACACCAGCACCGTTCTGGCGGCCGGTGACAGCCATCGAAACGGGTCTTGGGTTGTACGTCGTGCTGTAGCGGTCCAACTCGCGCGGCTCGGCACCGGCGCTGCGGCGCTTCGAGGGCTTCTTGGAAGAAACAAGGTTGATCAGGCCGTTGGCCACCGGCTGGGCACCGTTGACGTCGTGGGCGGCGCCGTTCATGTCGCCGTTTATGATAGGAGCAGAGCGGCGGGCTTGCTCCAGAGCCTCCTGCATGTCGGCGAGCTGCTGGCGCAAGCTGTTTTTCTCGGCCTCGGACTTGGTGACTTCTTGCCGGGCAGTCTCGAGTTCTGTGCTGGTGGCGCGCAGCGAGTCCTTGAGGTCCTGTTCCTCCTTCTGCATGCGGCGGACATTGGTGGTTGACTCGTCGAAGCTGAGCTGCAGCTTCTTCATCTCGTCCTCCATCTGCGAGAGACGGGCCGCAGCAATACCGGCCTGGTTGGCCTCCGTCTGTAGCTCTTTTGTCTTCTGCTCCAGGTCTTTGTGGCGCGTTTGCCATGACTTGATCTGGCCCTGGTAGCTCTCGACCTGGCTCTTGAGTTCCTTGTTCTGAGCCTTCATAGTGCCCAGTGACTGTGTCAGCTCCACGACCTTGTTCTCCAGCTTGTATGAGATCTGCTTCAGATCGCGAGCCTCCTCGCGAATGGTCTTGTACTCGCGCCGAGCTTTGCGACCACGCCACAGGCTCTGGACCAGGACAACCTTGTTGCGGTACGACCGCCAGCCACGCATGGCACGGCGTGAGCGCCAGACTCTCTGGATGACAAGGGCAGCATTGCCGAGGCGAGTTTCCATAATCTGCTTGCGCCGCAAGTAGCCCTTGAAAGCTGACTGGGCCAGCACGACATCGGCGCGAATGCGCAGGAAGTTCTTGCGCTGCTTTTGGCCGCGCCACACACGCTGGATGGTGGTCGCTGCCTGGATCGTGCGCAACTCTTGGGCACGGCGGCGAGCGTTGTAGGCGCGAGCGGCGGCCTGGACCTTGATAATGGCCTCGCGAGCCGCAAGGTAGCGGCGGCGGTAGTACTTGGCGCGCAGATTCTTCTGGATCATGGTTGCACAGTCGTTGAGACGGGTAGTTCGCAGGTTCTCGAGGAAGGCGAGCATACCGGCGCGGAAAAAGATTTTGGTCAGACCCAGCTGGTACTTGTCAACGCCCTTCCCCGTACTTGTGCCAAGAGCCTTGGTCAGAATGGCATCTGCCATTTGGCGGATCTCTGAGGTCCACTGGGAGGAGTGGACGAGCATGTAGTACCGCAGAGCAAATTCTTCGTACGTCCACCGAGTTGGGTAACCTGCTGTGCTGATGCGCACAGTCTCGAGGACACCACAAGCACGAAGCTGGCTCAAGACCATCGGACCCTCGAACTTCCAAGCCTCCTTGGCCTCATTGGGCTTGATACAACGGATGTAGTGCACATCGGTGTTGTTGATGGTGTTCATCAGCTCAATGAGCGAGGAGCGGAAGATGCCACCCAGTGTCGGCTTCCGGTTAACGGCAACGCCGATGCGACGGCCTGCAGCCGGCTTGACAGCCGTAGTCGCAGACGAGGCCAGGTCCTTTTCACGGACGGCAGACGCAGCGTCAAGAACGCGAGTGAGGAACTTATTGCTAGAGGCACGCAGCACAGCAAGGTGTTCATCGGGAACAGTGTCGCGGTTTTTGTCGATGAAGCCCTCAGACTCGTAGGTGACGTCGACGGCATAATGGCACACGGTGAAAGACGACTTGCCGAACCGCGGCTTCTTGTAGAACTTGTTCTTTTTGTCCTGTGCGTAGTTCTGGTGCAGCTTGTGGACGAACTGCTCATCGGTGCCCATGGGAAGACGCGACTCTTCGTCGAGCAGTGACAAGATGCCCATTTTGCCTTCAATAAGGTCAATACATGGCTGATTGTCGGAGAAATCAATAAAGGTCCAGTCAATCTTTTCCCGCAGGTACTCTTCCTGCTCGAGCTTGAAGACGTGCTGGTTGAATTCTTGCTGCAGTTTTTCGTTGGCGTAGTTGATACAGAACTGCTCAAAGGAGTTCTTGGCAAAGTGCTCGAAACCGTAGATATCGAGCACACCAATGAAGGACTGGACACGGCTAAGGACCTGCTCGGTGGCCAAGCTGTTGTTGATCACCTCCACCAGCCAGTCAAACAGGCTAGAGTAGATGTACTTGGCAACGGAATCACGGACGACAAAGGCCTGGGCGGGGGAAAGGTTGGAGATGATCTTGTCGCCGCGGGTGATGAGCTGCTTTTTGACAATCCAGCGGGCAAACTCGGACGCGTTGATGCCGAGAATGTCACAGGCCTTCACGAGAGCAGGCTCCTCCGCAGACAAGACGGCATCGGTCCGTGTGGCGCCAATCTTGATGTTGCCCAAGTGCAACAGACCGGCCAGCAGCTTGAAGATATCATCCTGCTCCGCCTCTTCAATACCGATGGTCTTGAGCGAGTCCCTGGTGGCCAGAAACTCAGCCTTATCGTCGACGCCGTCAATAATTGGGGTGTTACCCTGGTTGAGGTACTCGAACTGGTCGACAGGGAGGATGTCGAGCTCCTTGCGCTGCTCGTCGGTTACACCAGCAACCAGCTGGTAGAAAATGTGGTAGTTGCGCTCTTTGAGGGGTTGGAAAACGAGACGCGAGCGCTCAAGCAGGTAGGTGCGGATCTTGGCGCCGATGATGTTGGTCTTGTCGTCGAACATAATCTCGATGTACTTGCCGAAACGGGACGAATTGTCGTTGCGGGTGGTCTTGGCGTTGCCAAAGGCTTCCATGATGGGATTTGTCGCCAAGATCTGCTCCTCGGTCTTGCTCATGGCATCAGGGCCCTTCTTGGACCGAGACCCGGGGTTCGAGGGTGACTCGCGCGTCGCAAAGTACCGCATGATGTACTTTGCGCTGACTGTTTTGCCCGCACCCGATTCACCGGAGACGACAATAGTCTGGTTCTTGTTGTCGCGCAGCATGTCGATAAAGGCCTCTTCGGCAATGGCGAACAGATGGGGCGCCTGGGTGGCACGCTGCTTGCCGGCGTAGACCTGGACCATGCCATGGACGTAGAGGGAGTCGACACGGGCAAAGGGATTTGTTGCTATTAAAACAATGCCGGAGTATGTGTAGATTTCCTTCTGGGCGTAGCGAAGGCGGATAGCTTGAAGAACTGTGAGAGAGGGAGAACCCATGTTAGTCCAGACGCCTCGAAACACCTCCCAAAGGGTTGTACGAAGATGCAGAAGCTCCGCGATCAACAGAACACGAGAGTCAACATCACCACCGCCACCAATACGGATAACAAATAACGACAAGGACGTACCTGCAGGCTCGTTCAAATGGGACAAGTTTGTCAAATCGTCGCTGGCTTCGAGGATGGTCGGGTTCATCAGTGGTGGCAGCGACGGATCACTGCCACTGGCCAGAGCTTCTGTGGTGACCTCGACAGATTTTGTCTGTACCGTTGAAGTTGAGGTTAGCTTCAGGGACTTCGTTTTGGACTTCTTTCCTTCAAACCATTCTTCTCGGAGCAAACCTACCTCGCCATTTTCGAGCTTAAAGTCCAGTATGACCTTGGAGCCCTGGATGTCCTTCTTCACGACTTCGGAAGCTACCCAGCCCTCGGTGGCATCGGGCTGCCACGCCCGCGTGCCGACGTCGTATGTTTCCGCCATGGCTGAATGGGTGGGAAGATGGACAAGAAAGAAAGCGGCCGGCGGCCGAGAGAAGTAGAGAACGAGCTCTGCTTTCGTGGAAGGCACGAGCAAGTGAGATGCCGAAACGTCGAAAATCGGAAGACGAGGTCAAGGCTGCCTTGGGGAGAAAAAAAGGGGCCCACAAGCAGGTCAAACGGCGGTAAAGGTCGATCAAGAGCCAAGAAAGGCGGTGATGGAAATCTACAGCGCCAGTCGAGACAGAATGGGGGTCTGATGGGAGGAGGAAGGAGGGAGGAAAGAGACGGCAGATCAAAGTGCGTTGTGCCCGGTATCGTCGACAGGTAACCTGATGCAGTCGAGTGCGGTGCGAGCTGCTCGTAGATGGAGAGGAAAGATAATGGCTAGGAGAGGTCTCGATAGGGCCAGGTCGAAGAAAAGGAGTGTGGAGGCGCGGGAAAGGGGAACAGTTGGCAAAAAAAAAAGACGCTACTTATGTGTAGGGGTCCCCTAGACGGGAACGCATTAAGACTAAGGACCAAAAAGAATAAAGAGGAGACGGTGGAAAAGGGGTCGAACAAAGAAACACAGAAGACGCAGACGCAAAGATAGGAAGAAGGAACAAAAAAAAAAAGAGAAACAGAAAAGGAAGACGACGGGATTTCCACGATACAGAAAATGTCTTGGTACGAGACGATGGGACGGTTGCACTTTCCTGGGTTAATGGAGACACGAGGGAAAAACAAGACGGAAGGCGCAGAGAACTAACAACACCTGTAAGATACAGAATAAGACACTGGGCGCTCTGTTAGAAGAATAAGCGATGGCTGAAAACAGGGCATTTCGCACTAATTGTTTGCTAAGACAAGACGCGAAAAGAGGCATGTTTCCTGACCGCATTGTCCCATTTTTTCAGGGGTGGGCGGCTGCAGGCCTCACCTTGAACACATCGGCCACAGGGAGCTCCTTCCTCATTCGCTCAGAGGAGTTTTGCACCATTCGGTGTACGCTCGGTTTCTGTTGACTGGCGAGGAAAGAACGTCACAAACACAAGACAAAACATGGACAAACGCGCATGCACGCATGCACGTGCACACAAACGGCAGGCGCAGCGAAAACGCGCGATTGGAGAAGGTGTGGCCAGCTCAAAACGTGCGGCACACCACGCCTATGGGAAGCTGAGGGAGGGCAGCTCGGGCAGGCACACAGGTAAAGGGAGAGTCCAACCTACCAACCAGTTGCGGCTGCGCTATATTCTTAGTGGCGGGCCCCCCTCAACAGGTAGCGCTAGGTTCACTAAGAGTCCCTGACCAAGCACCGAGCGATCGATCTTGGTGCCATCTCTAGCGGGTTGGCTTCTATAAAATATGGCTGAAATCCAATGGGTAATTTTGCAGTTTTGATGCAGGAGGGAAACCCTTGCTGCCCATCATTGGAGCATCTCCGTCCCCTTTCCAAAAGTGATTTTTGGGTATGACGGTATAAAGTTCGAGTATGGTTCAGGGGTTGAATGTTTATTCGCCAGGACGTTTCGTAAAAGAAACGTACATCGGCTCATTGGTACTGCGCGAACCTCGTCCCGTTAGATGCATTCTCTCCATGAACTTGATCAGCGGCGACACAGCGGCTTGTCGTGACGAAATACAGGCGGCCAATGTGCTTTCACGGCGGTGTAGGTGATCCATCAGCAGCGATCAACTGCCATTTACAGCATACGCTAGCGGGTCCTTGAGCCCCTTTTCCTCTCGTCAATTTTCCCGTTGCCGTTTTCGATACCGTTTGCTCCATCCACCTAAACATGAAACGCGTGTCACGGATAAGCCAGTTAAAAGGACCCCAAACGCGTGTCTTTCTGAGATGGCGCGGTTCGTCTCCACGGAGAGCAATTCTGCATCATCGCTGAGGAGGACAAGGGAGTATGCGAAAACTACGTCGCGGAGAACGGCACGACGTACCTTTGTCACCAGTGGCAGGTTCAATGTTACCGGGTAGATGTTCAAAACGCGTCCAGCCTGACAGGTTGAACATCACCGACCCATATTGGCCGCTGCCTTTGTGATTTGTGGTGTTTTACTGAGAGGCTGAGAGAGTGGCGACGCCTCTAAGCGGATTTGCGGTGCATTTAACTGTGTCATTTTACAATGTATGTGTATACGTTCCAGAAGGACGCTGCTCAGTAGTCCGCATTGTTCTTTTCTTCTTGCCTTCAGGTTGACAGCTTCTTTTGTCTTGCCTTATGTCCTAATTTGCCTGCTTTCTTCATCTCTTTCCTTCACTTTTTTTATTAATTTCGGACCAAGATCTGCCTGTGGAGCACAACAGCTAGGATCTCCTTTAATTATGGGGCGATTCAAGGCGAGGAAGCCTTCACGCGTCGACATGGTTGTTTTCCGACAGGGTCTTTGAGGATGTAGTTGTGGAGCACAGACATTAAGAGATGAGGAGATGAAAGTGTTGGGTCCAGTGCAGTGGACGAACTGACGAAATAAGAGACACGAAATAGGGAAGCAAAGCAGAACAGCAAAATCACAACGTCAGATGTTTCCTTGCACGCGATGAAAACCGTTGTTTTGTCTCGTCTTGGGGTGTCTCCCGTGGGCCATGCACAGGACATGCGGTATATTAGGCAGTCAAAAACGGCCTTGTAATAAAATATCCCAATTCCGCCCATGCAATCTATATTATGCTCTTCTTTATTTATTGTTGAAACTCGTCCCATGATATATCCCAGGAAAAAAAAATCAACAGTGCCAGGCCAGACCGCGACGGGGGAGCGCCCGAATTGTGCTCGTCCATGTTGAACAGGTGAGCTGTCGACCGATAAGGAAGAAATGCAAAAGAAGGAATAAAAAAAATAAAAAAAATCAATGAAAAGCATGACGCAGGAAGTTTGCGCCTTTTTATACGTGATATCGCTTTGCAGCGGTATGGTATTGGTTTTGTTTGCCGCTTTGCTCATGTTTTATTTATTTTCGACGCCGATAGAAAATCATATGCGAGAGGAGCCACACAGAGCTCACAAAGGTGACAACAATGTCGTCAGTTTAGTAAAGCACACGGGTCATGATGCAAGCTGGACGGTGAGTTAGCATGTTCCTCGGTGGCGAAAAAAAAAATCAAATAAAAATAAAATGTGCATGACATATACGTACAGCTGAGACCCTCGAGGCTATCGGTAATCTCCTTAAGGTCACTGGGCTTAACATCGCTGACATCGGCCATCAGGTAGGCAATCTAAACGACGTTAGTGAACTTGACACAGTTTCCAGAAAGGGTGTGCTCTACAGTGTATGTGGGGTTACTTACATCGCCCTTGCTATCAGTAATCTGCTTGTCGACGTTGTGGTCGCCTAGTATCTCGTTGACACGGCGCAGCACACCGGGAACGTTGCGATGGATGTAGATGACGCGCGCGTGGTTGGGCTCCTCGAGCGTTAATGAGCGCATGTTGACCTCGGGCAGGTTGACGCTGCCAAGGGTGATACCCTGGTTGATGTACCGGACGAGTGCGTCGCCGACCTCGACACCAATAGCGCGCTGGGCCTCTTCCGTGCTGCCGCCAATGTGCGGCGTCAGGATCACGTTCTTGAGGCCGCGCAGCTCGTCGCCCCAACCGGGGTTCAGCGAGCCGTTGAAGAAAGCGCCGTTTCCGCCGGGCTCCTGCGGGTACACGTCCAGCGCCGCACCGGCCAGCTTGCCTGCCCGGAGCGCATCGACCAGCGCCGCAATGTCGACGACTGTGCCGCGGCTGGCGTTGAGCAGGTACGATCCCGTCTTCATCTGGGCCAGCTGGGCAGCGCCAATCATGTTGCGGGTCTCGGGGGTGGCAGGAACGTGCAGCGTGACAAAGTCGGCCTCGCGCAGCAGCTCGTTGAGCGAGGCGACCTGGCGTGCCTTGCCCAGGGCCATCAGGGTGACAATGTCGTAGTAGATGACCGACATGCCCATGGCCTCGGCCAGCACCGACAGTTGCGAGCCAATGTGGCCATAGCCGACAATGCCCAGCGTCTTGCCGCGGATCTCCCAGCAGCGCGCACTGACCTTGTTCCAGGTGCCGCTGTGCATCTCGCTGGAGCGGTCGCCAAGCTGGCGCGCCAGCGAGATGATCCAACCGATCATCAGCTCGGCGACACTGCGCGAGTTGGCAAAGGGCGAGTTGAAGACGGCAATGCCATTCTTGGCCGCGTAGTCGAGGTCGACCTGGTTGGTGCCGATGCAGAAGCAGCCGACCACAAGCAGGCTCTTAGCTGCTGCCAGCACCTTCTCCGTCAGCCGCGTTTTGGAGCGGATGCCAATGACGTGCACGTCGCGGATCTTGGCAATCAGCTCGTCCTCGGGCAACGAAGACTTGAGGTACTCGACCTGGTAGCCCTGGCCTGTCAGGATGCTACGGCCACTCTCGTTGACGTTTTCGAGCAGCAGGATCTTGATGTCGGTCGAGTTGAAGGGCTTGAGCGGCTTGGCGTTCCCGCCCACACGGCTGTCACCAGCGGCGCCGGTGCTGCTAAAGCTACCGGTACCGGTCCGGCTGCCATAGGCGTTGAAGCTGGACGGGGGAGACGTGAAGGTAGTAGTCGGGGAGGTCGACACGAATTGCGTATTGGCGTCAGAGAGCGGCGCCGCGGGCCGGCTGGCAATGTTTTGCGGTTTTGCTGCCATTGCGATGTTCAATTGAAGGTGGGGGAGGGGTTCGAGTTGCGGATCCGATTTGGTGAAGCTCTCGAGTTACACGAAAGCACTGCCGTATTTCTGTCTAGGGTTGTACACAACAATAGCATATGATGCTCGAATTTCGAGGGTTGTTTTTTTAAGGAGTGAGGTGGGGGATGTCGTGATGTCAGTCAGTTGGCAGCGTAAATCACGAACCAGAAAAAAATGGAGGGATTGGCCACCTTCGTTACGAATTGGAGCGATAGCGGGGGCGTCGTTTGCGAGGTATTAATACTAGCCCAATTGGCAAGTCTTACACGGCAGGAACAGCTTTCAACGCCCCTCCTTTTGTTTCCCTTGCTCGTTGACTCACAAACCCGGGCGGACTGGCGGCCGTTCCTCTTTCAGCAAGAGCGACAGAGCTGGAGTAAACCACGGAAGGTTGTGTCCACTAATACTCGCCTTGTTGCGTTCAAACACCGACTTTCGGAAGGCTCTGGACCTCTCACCAGGACCATGACAGAGCAACCAGCGGCGAAAAATTTTCACCTGTCGACTTTTTTTGCCTACGCCTTAATAAACTACCTCACGTCGCTCACTTACACCCGCAAGAGTAATTACAAGCCATTCACAACGACGGCTACCCCCACGCCAGTCTAAATGATGACTCTTTGGCGTGCTCAAAGAGGGACCAGCAACGACGCCGGCTGGGCAATATTTGGTTCTTATGTACTGTTTTCTTTATGGCTGGCTTGTTTAATTCTACCGCAAGGCTCGTGTATTCTTCCGACAAGGTCTTCAAGGTCTTCTTCAAGGTCTTCAAGGTCTTCTTCAAGGTCTTTCTCATGGCACCGCCCAATGCCAAAGTTTGTATGACTGCAAAAATCAGTCTCTCTATTATTTTATGTATCTTTTTCGTCATTACTTTCATCTTTCCTAAAGTTAGGCTCCGCAAACGGGAGGTGGGCAAACAAACACAGCAATACTGTGACTCTTACACGGCCGTTTTTTTCGTGCATCCGTGAGCTCTCCGCAAATCCTTCGGAATTTCCACGTTAGTAAACGGCAAAACAATACGACGTATCGCTATTGTCATATCGAAGAAGAGTGGTATGAGGCACACAGGAATAAAGAGCGTGCATATGTGCCGGCTTCGGGGCCTGCTGTATATTGAACATCAAAGTTCGAAGCATGCCAATCCATACAGTAGCAGCTACGAACGCGCACAAAGAGGATATTAACATCGATTGATTACTAGATGGAAGTGAATTAAATGCAGCAAACTATTAAGGGGGTGTAATGAAGGGGTAAAAAGTAACAAAGGAGGGTGGTGAAAGGCCAATAACCCAAGGAACGCGAAACGACACAGAAAAGCATATCAAGTTAAAAGAAGCCAAAGTGCAACAAGAGCAGAAAAAAATGATCCTGATCACATCTTATTTTCCACCCCTGATCCATTCCCCGTGTACGTTTTTTTTTTTTTGTGGTTTCTCTCTCGTTTTGTATTTGTTTTTTAGGTCTTTCCTTGTTTCTGTGTAAAACGTCAAGACGTCTTCGACCGTGTCACTTGGGGGCGGTTCCTACGTTTGGTAGGACGGCGACATAGCACTGTCTAGTACGCAAGAGGAGAATTGTATATCAAGGAGCAAGGCAGGACAAAGAGGGGGGATTCGTTCGGGTAAGCTGCACTATACTGCGCATAACTCTGGCCAGTCCGGAAACATCCTCTCTACCTTGCTTACGTTGCTCCTATCAATTTTGAATAGCTCCATCTTCCCATCTAGTATTCGCGTGAACTCCCAATGCCGCAAGGATCAAGGATGCCTCGACTAGGAATATAACACATCGGCTTAGACAACGGCGTGGTGCCCGTCTAGCTTTGCTTGCACTCCTGCGCGTCAGGTTTCGGCTTCGAGCTATCATCCTGTTGAAAACCGTCAGTGTCTTTCCACTTTACAGCGAAGGCAAGTTCTGGGCTAAGCATCAGTACTTACGTCGTCCTCGTCAGAGTCGTCGTCCTCGTCGTGGTCCTCACTCAGGTCGTCCTCATCATCCTCATCGTCGTCAAAGTCCTCGTTCAGGTCATCCTCGTCGATCTCCTCGTAGGCCAGAGCCTCGCCCGTGAACCAGTCAATGGCGCGGGGAATCAGCTTCTCTTTGATATCCTCGCCCAGCTGGTAGTCGAGCTCGAGGCGGTCCTCGATGTCGTAGGCTGCCTCCTCGTCATCCTCTGCCGGGGGCTCAGGCGGCGAGAAGAAGTTGAAGAACGACTCGGTCGGGACGGTCTTCTTGACGATGCGGGTCTGCTTGGTGTCTGTGAGGTCATCATTAGCATGTGATGTTTCCCCAGTCACGTCATGTGGGGCCCACCAAGACATGAACCATTTGAACATCAACTCGGGCCACAAAACAGCAACTTACTCTTGTTGCGCTGCTTCTTCTGCTCGATGCGGACGGTCAGGTCCTTCTCGGCCTTCCAGTTGATCTTGTCGCCCTCGGCGTGGTCGTAGATAAAGTCGCCGCCGTAGCCGGACTCGCTCTGGTAGAAATATGTCTTCGAGATGGTCTTGTTGGTGAAGTAGTCGTTCTCGGCGAACTCGAAAATCAGGCGGAAGCCCGGCTTGTCGAGGTACTCCATGCGGATGTCCGTCAGGTGCTTGAGCGCGCCCTCGTCGCGGTCGGTGATCATCTCGGCGAGCGAGATCTGGTTTTTCATGGCCGACAGCCAGAACTCCGGGATACCAGAGACAGGCTCGGTAGAGGTATCCTCGGCCTCTTCGGCCTTGGTCTCGGTCTTGTGGGCCTCCTCGCCATCCTCATCCCCATCCTCCTCCTCCTCCTCCTCCTCGCCGGCGGCGATCTCCTCCGCGGTAGGCTCGTTGGCGCCGTTGATGATCTTGGAGCGCTTCTCGTACAGGGGAGTGAACTTGGCGAAGTACTTCTTCTCGAGCTGGAGAACCTCCTCCTGGAACTCGGCCTCTAGCTTCGAGTGCTCCTTCTGGATGCCCTTCAGGCCGGAGACACGGCGCTTGACTTGCGGCGGCAGCGACTCAATGTAGCCAGACGAGCGGCCCACGAGGCTGCCGAGCTTGCCCTGGATCATGCTGACAAGGCGGGGATTCTGGGCAAAAAGGGACGCGGCAGCAGCAAGGTCGACCGGCTCTGTTGGCGGTTGGCAAGCCGTTAGCAATGGTAGGGCCCGGGAGTACAAAACGCGGGGACCCCTGCCTTTGGGGGTGGCAGGAGCAGCCACATCGCGCATCATTTGACCTGTCGGGTCCAGGACTTTGACAATCACAGCACAAAAAGCACAAACGGAACTCACCCTCAGAGATGCTGGGAACGCCGGGCTGCTGGGCGTGCGAGGAGATGGGGGCATTGTTGGCGGGCGTGTTTTGCGGCGTCCTATATCAAAATCGTTAACACGCGTCCCAACAAAACAAACTCTCGCCCACTCTCCAAAACTGCAGTCGAATGCGGCCTCGCGAGCCAACGAATCGGACACAGTTTCGGAAAAGTAGCCAGGCCTGCCAAAAGGAGCCGTTCACTCACGGTGCGGCGGCATCAGGCCGCTTGTTGCGGATGGGCTCGGCCATGGCTGCTGGCGGACGAATGGTGATAGTGGGGGATGAAAGGTATCAAAGACGACAATGGAACACCTCGGGACGAACAGGAGGTCGGTGGTCGTTTGGTCGCGATTCGTCGATTCGGGGAGGTGAAGAAATGGACGTAGGAGGGAACGGAGAGAAAGAGAGACGTGGTGAAAGGGAGAGGAGGTGAAGTAAGGAGACAGCGAAGAGGGTTGGGAAGTAAATTTTAGTATGGGAATTTTGGCGGCGGGGTCGAGAATTCCTTTGGGGGACGCCAGGGAAATTTTCTGCTGAGCGGTGGGAAAGGAGCCGGGAGAGAAAGAGGGAAATGGGGGACCGCTCGCTTCTGGCTAGGTCTCTGGGCGTGCTGGGCTTCTCTGTCGCCTTGGGGGCCCTTCATTTCGTTGGTTGCCGCCACTCTTGTCTCCCACTTGCCACGTTGGGTCGCAGTCATTGGTTGCACGGGAAGGTGGCCCGCTTTTCTTCTCACTTCTCCAATGTTGCGCCTTCGCTGCGTCCTTCTAGAAAAACCAGGCGAGCTCGGTGAAGGCTTGGGCGATGGTCTTGCCCAGGCTGCTAGGAGCTTGTGCGTATTCTGTTGCCGTCCAACACTGAGCCTTGTTCTCTTGTCCTGCCGTTCCTTTGTCTCATAAAACTGTAACAAAGAAGGTTGCTTTGAACCGGCCGAGGCAGCATCTGAGGTGCTCCTGGCTGCCAGACGTGCCCCAGTGGTTCCTTCCCCAACACCTGTCGTCTCATACGTGGTGGCCAGGCATTAATTAGGCAAGAACCAACCAGATTCAGTTACGGCCGTGGCCAGACCGCTCATCGGTACGCAGCCAGCCATTCTGTAGTACAATTGGAGTAATGCTTCTGCAGAGAATTATCTAGCTGGGCCAGAACCTGCAAAAATGAAAGGCCCAACCTTTGCATGTTAAAGCTTTGAGCTCGTGCAAATTAAGATGCCTTGTGCTGGTGAGGGCTTTAGGATCGTCAACGACTACACTAAGCTTATTCCTCTTCCTGATAAAATATAAAGCATTACTTCTGTACTCCGTCCAAGAAGGCGCGACTGTGGACATCGAAGCCAGAGGCCCACTATCGCGCTTGCTGCTTTTACAGGCGGTCTTGCCTGTCTGTCACCGGCCACCAGCGCAAAGCGCCTTCCTTTTTAGCGCCATAGCTCCCCCACCATATCTACCATTGTCCAGTAGGACGTCATCATGTGTGCTGTAGTAATTATCTTACTTTTTTTTACGAATGTAGAGTAGGCGTGACTGGCGCCGTAATCTCGCCGCCCGCACAGCTTAAAATATTGCCAATGTAAGATAACACACTCACGAGCAACCACAGCCACGCACGTACACATTGCACGCTCAATACGCACGACAGCACGCGCATTCGCTGCCGTCAGTCCGCGGACGACATCACCGTGCGACACTCTTTTTTTGCCAGGCCACTGCCAGTTGTGCCCTTGTTGCTGTCATGTGTCACAGTTAGCACTCGTACAGTTTTTTCTTTGTGCACCTCGGCCCCTACGACTCTCCGACTCGGCACTCGTGATAATTGCCCGGGCAGCGGATACGGGCGCAATGAATGGCAGCGATGGCGAGCCCCTCAGTCCTTCCGAGGCGGAGGCGGCCCGCCAGGACCAGGGCGCCATGGGCCCGTCGCTTTACCGTCTAAACTCGAATCAGAGCTCGACCAGCGTCTTTGAAGATGTGGAAATGGCGCATGACGAGGTGAGTGGTGGACGATTCTTATGCCCGACGGCGCTTCCTTTTGCGCCCCCCATACTGAGCCGGCCGTAGCTGTACTCCGGTCCCATGGCCGAGAGCCTACCCTCGAGCATTGCTGCCTTCTCGCATCGCCGATCACGAGCCGATTCGACTGCCAGCTTCGCATACTACACGGATAACGATGAAGAACAGGACCGAGCTCAGGCTCAGGCTCCGGTCCGCCACCGCCGCGGCGACGACGACTCCCAGTCTATCAGCCTCGAGGCCGAACGGCTTCTGGTTGGGTCATACAGCTCGCACCATTACGAAGAAGACCTTGAGTGGAACGGCGGCGCTGGTTCCGAGTTTGCGACGGAAGAGGAGGATGACTCGGCTGATCTCGAAAGTGCGGCCGATCCCGATGACTTCGTACTTCACCGCCGCTCTTCCACGCTATCTCGGACGTCTACCCGTGCTGGCCTGCTGCGGCGCCGAAGCAGCGGAGCCTCGGTTGCTGCTAGTGAGTATGGTAGCGGTCGCGTGAGTCAAAAGACGTACCTTGCCAACGAGGACCTGTACATTGTCATTGCAGGGTTCCGCACCAGCCGTGTTGGCAAGACGATCTATGCACTGCTCTGCGTACTCTCGTTCGGCCTCGCCTGGCTTTTGTTCCGGTGGATTCCACGCTGGCACGTCCGCGTTGTTGGCCGCGCGTGCCCTCTTCGCGAGTGCACCTGGGTCGTGGTTGAGAACCAGTGGAACGAGATGGCCATTCTAGACGTCGATGACACAGACTACAACCGGCCGCTATCAACCATATTTGGTGCTTCACGCAAGACGGCCAGCGACGTTTACGAGGACGAGGATCCCGACCCATTGTTGAAAGACCTGCGTGGGCTCAACTATCGCTATGTGCGCCTGTATTACCACCCCCAACGGGACAAGTTTGTGCTCTCGGCCGGCTGGAAGGACCCACTATGGCAGGACGTTCGCGAGATCCGTGCTGGTCTCGATAGCGATGAAAAGGGCTTTCGGACACAGGTCTTTGGGTCAAACTTGATCGATATCGAGCAGAAGTCCGTCTTCAAGCTTCTTGTCGATGAGGTTTTCCATCCCTTCTATGTATTCCAGATTGCCAGTTTGGTCCTCTGGTCCATGGACGAGTACTATTACTACGCAATCGCCATCTTCCTCATGTCGTTTGGCAGCATCACCACAACTCTCATAGAGACTCGGTCTACCATGCGCCGACTACGGGAAATCTCACGCTTCGAATGTGACGTGCGTGTCTTGCGCAATGGATTTTGGCGGACCGTGTCTTCAGGCGACCTTGTTCCCGGCGATGTTTATGAAGTCAGCGACCCGAGCCTTACGCAGTTCCCTAGCGATAGCTTGCTGCTCAGCGGCGACTGCATCGTCAACGAGAGCATGCTCACGGGCGAATCTGTCCCCGTGTCCAAGACGCCGGCCACCAACACGAGCATACGACTGCTGGATCTTGCCGCCCCGACCATCTTACCTGAAGTTGCAAAGCACTTTTTGTTCTGCGGCACAAAAATTGTCCGTTCCCGGAAACCTCAGGATGCACGCGACGAGGAGGAGGCCGTGGCCCTTGCCATGGTTCTCCGCACCGGCTTCAATACGACCAAGGGATCACTGGTGCGGTCCATGCTGTTCCCGAAACCCTCTGGCTTCAAGTTTTATCGAGATTCGTTCCGTTATATCTCAGTGATGGCTTGTGTTGCCTTGCTCGGTTTCATTGCGTCGTTTATTAACTTCGTCCGTCTTGGCCTGGCCTGGCATCTCATTGTTGTTCGTGCATTGGATTTGATCACCATTGTCGTGCCACCTGCCCTGCCGGCTACTCTCACCATTGGTACAAACTTTGCCATCAGTCGGCTCCGGGCCAAGAAGATTTTCTGTATCAGCCCACAGCGCGTCAATGTCGGCGGAAAGCTAGATATCATGTGCTTCGACAAGACGGGGACACTAACCGAGGACGGCCTGGACGTTCTGGGTGTTCGTGTGGTCGACCATGCCGCCAATCGTTTCGGCGAGGTGATTTCGAAGCCGTCTCTGCTGGTGCCTGCCCGCCCTGCGCAGCAGAGTGCGAAACGGACGGCAATTGCCACCTACGACGATGCTCGCCGCGCTGCTCTCTTTACCATGGCCACGTGCCACTCCTTGCGATCAGTGGACGATGAACTGGTCGGTGACCCTCTAGATCTGAAAATGTTTGAATTTACAAACTGGACGTTTGACGAAGGTAACCAAAACGCTTCAAGAGATCAGGACGACGAGGAGAACCAAGGTAGCCTTGCACCGGCTGTTGCTCGTCCCCCGCCCGATGTTGTGTACGACCTGGACACCCGTCCCTCTGCGTCCAATGGCAGAACCTCACTGGCAGCCACAGCAGCGACTGAGAATCCTTTTGAGCTCGGTGTCGTGCGGTCGTTTGAGTTTGTCTCCCAGCTGCGCCGGGCCAGTGTCATTGTGCGTATCTACGGCCAGCCCAGTGGCGATGTCTACGTCAAGGGTGCGCCGGAGTGCATGCGGGAAATCTGCCGGCCAGAGAGCCTGCCGGCCGACTACGATGACTTGTTAGCATCATACACGCACAAGGGCTATCGCGTGATCGGCTGTGCCACAAAGCACATTCCGAAGCTCAGCTGGGTTCGCGCGCAGAAGATGAAGCGTCACGACGCCGAGTCCGATCTGGACTTTGTGGGCTTCATCGTCTTTGAGAACAAGCTGAAGCCGACGACGTCGGCCGTCTTGGAGAAGCTCATCCAGTCCAACATTGGCGCTGTCATGGTGACTGGAGACAACATCTTGACGGCCATCAGCGTTGCCCGTGAATGCAAACTTATCAACAAGACAGCGCATTGCTTTGTGCCCCGGTTTGTCCGAGGCAATGCTCAAGACCCAACGTCAAAGCTCCAGTGGGAGAGCATCGACAACAGCATCTACCAGCTCGACGAGAAGACGCTTTTGCCTCTCCCTGCACCACCAGAAGGCGACGCATCCCTGCCGTACGATATTTCCAATCTGCGAAACTACTCCGTAGCCGTGAGCGGCGATGTTTTCCGCTGGATTGTCGACTACGCGCCGCCCGAGATCCTCCACAGAATGCTCATCTGCGGCAAGGTCTTTGCTCGCATGTCGCCTGATGAGAAGCATGAGCTGGTTGAGAAGCTGCAGAGCATCGACTACTGCTGCGGCTTCTGTGGTGACGGAGCGAACGACTGTGCTGCTCTCAAGGCTGCTGATGTCGGCATCTCGCTGTCGGAGGCCGAGGCGTCAGTTGCTGCGCCGTTTACATCACAGATCTTTGACATCCGCTGCGTGCCCGAGGTGATTCGCGAAGGCCGCGCGTCGCTGGTGACGAGCTTCAGCTGCTTCAAGTATATGAGCCTGTACTCAGCGATCCAGTTCACATCCGTCAGCTTTTTGTATGCCTCGGCATCGAACCTCGGCGATTTCCAGTTCCTGTTTATCGACCTGGCCCTCATTCTGCCGATTGCGGTCTTTATGAGCTGGGCCGGACCCTTTCCCGAGCTCGGCAAGAAACGACCAATGGCTGATCTTGTTTCCCGCAAGGTGCTGGCGCCGCTGCTCGGCCAGATGGCAATCTGCATTGCCATCCAAACCGTTACGTTTTTGGTTGTCCGGCATGAACCGTGGTTTATCCCGCCAGTCATCGACCCGGACAAGTCCAACATCAAGAACTCGGAAAACACAGCGCTGTTCCTTGTGTCGTGCTTTGAGTACATCCTGTCGGGTGTCGTGCTGAACGCAGGTCCGCCGTTCCGACAGGCCATTTGGCAGAACTGGCCCTTCGTCGCCACGATTGCAGTCACGGTGCTCGTTACCGTGCACATGATTCTCGGCCCTGCCCACTGGCTGAAGAACTTGATGGAGCTGACCACCATCTCGTGGAATTTCAAGGTCCTCCTGCTGTTCCTGGGCATCATGTACTTTGCACTGGCGATGGCGGCCGAGAAGTGGGTGTTGCCGGCGGCGGCTCGCTCCATAGGACGGGCCAAGCTGGCATTGGCCAAGCTGCCCAAAAAGCGCAAGGGGTACAAGCTCATCCAAGAAAGCATGCGTGCATAAACACGCGAGTGCGCGATGGCTCTTCTGATGCTATCATAGGTATTGTCTATTGAATTGTATATTTCTCGTGTTCTCGTAACATTTATTTTGGTTTCGTTTTGAATAACAGCACCATTTCCATACGTTTCCCAAGGAATGTTTTTAATTGCGTGCCCCGTTAGTCATGGGGACGTTTTACGCTCATCACGTCAATGTACCTAATTAGTATGTTGTACAGCAAGAGTTACCATTGACCATTTATATGATTGTCTGGTCTACCTGGTTTCTGTTGCTTTTTATTGGATGCGCACGGGATGCGCTGAGTCCTGAAACAGTGCCTCCAGCGCAGGGTCCCTCAATGGAAGCTGTGCACTCCGAACCCGGCATCTCATTGATGTTTCTTTCCGTGCTCCAGCGGTTGGTTTCAAGCTTTTAGAGCTTTTAGCCTTTCCATGATCTTTTTCTCATTTTCCTCCGAATTTGCATCTTCAATTTTGTCATCACGGTCTTTATTTTATCACCACCGCTTACCATCAGTGTTGACGCCGCATCGCATCCAGTAGACGTTGTCAGCCTCGCCTCAGCCTTGTCTTACTGCCAGTATCAGCTGCGTTTGTGCATACAATGGACGTCGGTAAGTCGCCTCCAAATTCGTTTCTGCCGAACAACGCAACTATTGCCTGACACAGTACTGGTTTCGCCACTCAAAGACTCTCTTTTGGATAGCGGTATTCTGCCGCATGCCGTCATCCGACTTGGAATTCGTCGAAATCTAGCCAAGCGACTCCAGGAAGTGGCTACGCCAGACCTCGCCTCGGCCACGGCGCGTAAGCAGGGCTATGTGGCTCGGCTGCGTCTTCAACCTATTGCCATTGAGACGGACACGGCCAACAAGCAGCACTATGAGGTCGGCACCGGCGTGCTGGCTGCTACTCTCGGCCCGTATATGAAGTACTCGAGCTGCTGGTACCCCGAGGTGGAGAATGAAGGTAGTAACAGCGGCCTCTTTTCCTCTGCAGGCCGACTGCTGTCCCGGTTCGTGCCCTGGAAGAGCCGCAAGCGCACGACCCTGGACGAAGCCGAAGTGGCCATGCTCACCAGCTATATTGAAAAGGCCGACCTCGACGACGACATGCACATCCTGGATCTTGGGTGCGGCTGGGGTTCGTGCTCGCTCTTCTTTGCCGAGAAGCTGCCCAAGGCCAAGATCACAGCGTTTTCCAACTCGCGCACCCAGAAAATCTACATTGACGAGCAGGCCAAGAAACGCGGCCTGACCAACCTGACTGTAATCACCGGCAACGTCGTCGACTACGAATTTGCACCCGAGAGCTTTGACCGCGTGGTCTCCATCGAGCTGTTTGAGCACATGAAGAACTACGAGCTGCTCTTGGCCAAGGTCGGCCGCGCGCTGCGGCCGGGCGGCAAGCTCTTTGTGCACCTCTTTAATCATGCCACGACGCCGTATGACTACGAGGAGGGCTGGATGTCAACCTACTTTTTCACGGGCGGCACCATGCCGTCGGCGGACCTGCTGCACTACTTCCAGCACGACTTGACGCTTGAGAAACAGTGGTGGGTCAACGGGCGCCATTACTCGCGGACTTGCGAGGACTGGCTGAAGAACATGATTGACAACAGGAAGACCATGATGCCCGGGCTCGTGGCCACATACGGCGACAAGGATGCCGTGGCCTGGTACTACCGGTGGCAGGTGTTTTACATGGCCTGCTCGGAGCTGTTCAACTACCGTGGAGGCGACACGTGGGGCGTGTCGCACTACCTATTCTCCAAAGCCGCCGAGAAAAAGTGAGACGTACGTGGGGGTGATCCTGGTCCGCTGTCGAGTATCGCTCGCAGTCTGTCGATTCTACTTTCATAAGAGGGATATTTCGAGATACCATCAACGCGAAACTGCTGAGACACTGCCGTATCAACCTGTCGGTGAATTTTGAGTCTTTTGTATGTTAATTTGTCCCAGTCGGCGTAACCATATGTACATAAGAATGATGCCTTTCAATCGGAAGCAGAGAATGCCTCTGTCCCTCGCCGGCGCTCTTTTCCCTCCGCAACGCGTCCGCAATGCGTATTTTATTCGTGATCCGTCGCTCGTCTGCACTGTTTAGTGCTCCCATGGGTGCTTCCAGCCCATCAGTGCCGGGCCGTCCTTCTTCGCTCTGTACATCAGCTGCATTTCACCATTTGTTAGCAATCGGGACTTCTGACTGCCGTCGTCCGACATTCTCCGCAAAGTGGACGGCAACTCACGAAGAACCACATGCTAGCACCCAGCGCTGTGGCCGTGAACCGGTACACGAACGGCACGTGGGGGACCGGCGGCTTGTTATGAAAGTTCATGGCGAGGTTTTGGAACCCGGGCAATCGGCGGTCCGGGGATGTCTCGTAGGGTCTTTTGGGGGTCGGCAGAAAAGCGAGTCAGCTTTTGGGAATTCTCGGGAACGAAGGGCGAGTGACGTCGGGCAGCGCGCATTCACAAGAAAAATGGTCAGCGGTGAAGAGAAATGCTCTTCGGTACGTCGATCGGAAGTCGTGTCGCGGGGTTGGGAGCGACAATGGCTAACCGCGGGCCTTGTTCGTGTGCTCGAAAATGTGGTGGTGTCGTATGAGCACGGAGACCTTTCGTGATACATAGAATTTAGCGGAGCGATTGGGCTGTGGAGTGGATTGGTACAGCCGGGAGAGCATCTGTTGTGGCCTAATCGACAAGGCATGAAAATAAGCTAACGGTGATTGGCCTTAAGAGGCGGCCCACTTTGGCGTACGGCTGTCTGTGATTGGTCATTCTCCCCCTTATGGCAAGTCCCGTAACAATCGCCGTACTGCAGGGCCACCGCCTTCCGCATTCAGTTTCTCGGCACTTTCTGCCGCAACCAGGGCCATCTCAGCTAACAAAGGCTTCTGGGGACGCATCGAAAAGGCGACATCAAACAAACCGTTCATCGCCCGTTCCGGCTGTGGTGCTCATCACGATATGCGCATGCCTTAACACGAAATACCCCATATCTATAATTGTGTATGTCTTTGCGAAGCTTGCTTTATTGATACCCCTGCGCGCGCGCATCAACAACTTTCTTCCACAACGACCGTCGGATTCGCAAACGATCATCAGACGCTGTCGAACCAGACGAGCACCCGATTCAACAAGCATTTTATCGGGGACCACAACACTTCCATACTTTCCTGAAGAGCGAACAGAGACAGGCGGTTGTTCGAAAGGCGGTTGTTCGAAAGGCGGTTGTTCGAAATGGCGGATTCGCCGGCGTACGCCCCGTCACCACGGGCGTTTGCTCAACAGCACATGCGATCTCGATCGAGCTTCGTAGGATGCTCCAACATCCGCGACTATGAGCTGTTGGGGAAGCTAGGCGAGGGCACATTTGGGTAAGAAGTTCTTGGGCCTCCTCATTTGTCTTGCCAGCTCAAACCGTGGTTACAAACTAACACGCACAAGTGAGGTTCACAAAGCACGGTCTCGAAAGACAGGTGCTATGGTGGCAATGAAGAAGATCATTATGCATAATGAGAAAGACGGAGTACGTTTGGCAATGTGCTTTGTTATTTCTTTTTTCCTCTTCTTTGTCCATTGCCTAAATGTAGCTGACCAGCATTCCAGTTCCCGATAACAGCTCTCCGAGAGATCAAGCTGTTAAAGTTGCTGTCGCATAAGAACGTCCTTAAGTTGGAGGACATGGCCGTCGAGCACTCTCATAAACCCAGTATGTCTCTTTCGAAGGCGACGGATTGACAATTGCCATCTGCATCTGCCATCTGCCAGATCAGTGCTAACGGAAACAGCCGATAAACGGAAACGGCCTATTATGTATATGGTCATGCCGTACATGGATCACGATTTATCGGGCCTTCTCGACAACCCCTCCGTCCGCTTCACCGAGCCACAAATCAAATGCTACCTCCTCCAGCTCCTCGAGGGCCTGCGCTACCTTCACGAGAACCATATCTTGCACCGCGATATGAAGGCAGCCAATCTTCTCATCAACAACCGCGGCGTCCTCCAGATTGCCGATTTCGGCCTGGCACGCCATTACGAAGGCGAGGTACCGATGCCGGGACGGGGCGGCGGTGATGGCCAGCGCGAGTACACCAGCCTTGTCGTCACGCGATGGTACCGGCCACCCGAACTCCTCATGCAGCTCAAGCGGTATACAACCGCAATTGACGTGTGGGGTGTTGGGTGCGTGTTCGGCGAGATGCTGTACGGGAAGCCGATTCTGGCCGGTGTCACCGATCCCCACCAACTGGAACTCATCTGGGATCTGTGTGGTTCGCCCACGGAAGACAATATGCCCAACTGGCGTAAGCTGCCAGGCGCGGAGGGTCTCACGCCACGTGTCCGTCCGGGCAATCTATCCACGCGGTTTGGCAAGTACGTCACGGGCGCCGCTTCACGTCTCATTCCATTTTCCATAGCAACGTCCCCCGACTAACGATGTCTTCAGGTTCGGTCCTGCCGCTGTATCGCTTCTTTCGCAGCTGATGAAGCTGGATTGGCGTGCTCGTATCAACGCTATGGATGCCCTGCAGCATCCCTATTTCCGCACAGCTCCACTTCCAGCACAGCCGGGCGATATCCCTGTATTCGAGGAGTCGCATGAGCTTGACCGCCGGAAGTTTGACGATAGGAAAGCAGTTCTACCGCCAGCGCCAAAGGGTGGCACGGTTGGTCGTGGCCATGCAGATGCCGGGTTTGGTCCGAACGGCGCCAGTTTTGAGGGCGACGGCTTCGGACGACATGGTGGTGGACCCGGCCGGCAAGGTGGCGGTGGCGGTGGCAGTGGCCATCCACAAGATCGCGGTCCGCGCGGTGGTGCTGACGACGGCCGTAGGCCGGCATGGGCGCGTGACCGGCAGCCGCATGGTCTTCCGCCCCGTCCGCCTCCGCCTGCCAACGATTCGTCGGTGAATGGCCGTGATAGTGCACACCACGGCGATGGTTATCGCGATCGCGATCGCGATAGAGACCGAGACCGAGACCGAGACCGCGATCGTGGTGATAGGGATAGAGACCGTGACCGGGACCGAGACCGGGACCGTGGCCGAGATAGGGACCATGGTAGGGATAGGGCAGACCACCTTGGCCCGCCGAGAGGCCGCGGCGGTGGGGGCCCCCGTGGTGCGGATGGCGACACGTACATTCCGACCTATGTGGGCGGAGGCGGAGGGAGGGATCCGGGTCACGAAGCCGCATGGGATCGTCGGCGGCACGACGATGATGCAGCTCGGTACGGTGGCCGGGCTGACCGATACGACAATGGCGGCGGTCCACGCCACAGCCGCAGCCGGTCGCCGATTTGGCGGGAGCACGGCCGTGAACGGGACGGATACCGTAGATAAAGGTGGGCCAGAAACATGGCAGTGTTTTTGTATATTGCATATTTGGGACGCGGGAACTGCGATGGCTCATCCTACAAGGATAGGCGTTTTCATCATTAATCACGGGGTTTTAGAAGGACGAACAAGCGGCAAGCCCGTTACATGGAACGAGTAACAAACGGCTGGACTCATTACTCCAACAATAACAGAGAAGTCGTACAATAAACAAAGACAACGCTGAGCTGGACTAAATAATGAACAATAATAACTACAGGTTTGGACATGACGTTGCAAACGCAGAGCCCGAGTTCTTTACTCCGAGGACGATTCTTCCATGATAGTGAGAGACAACACTCCTCTGGGCCCTGGGCTCTGTGTTCGTAGCAGCGATGCAGATGCATCGCTGCCTCCACCATCTCCCTCTCCTGCAACAATGGGCTGGTTAGGGTTGTACTCCTCCAGCCACTGCCACACGTCGTCCCGTGGAGTTGTGCTGTCCTCCGTCTTGACGACGGCAGGAGGTGTGATGACGGCCGCGCTCTTTGGTAAGAACAGTGAGGCCAGTGCCTTGTCGCTCAGCTGTCTGGCCGGCCGCTGCTTTTGCCAGGACTGTTTGCCGACGGGCGAGATCTTGCCGCCATCCGCCTCGAGGCCATCGTCTGCGTCCGCGTCCGACTCGAGCTCTCCGTCTGCTTTTGGTTCGGCGCTTTCATCCAGCCTGAGGATAACAAAAACGTAGCGCGAGGCAAAATTGAGGACTAGGCCTGTGACGATGCCTATGAAAGCCGCGGAGCCGAGCTGGTGCGTGGTAGGAAGGGGTTAGTACTAGTGTTCTTCTCTGCAAAGAGCCTGCAAAGAGCAGATCGTGTCGGGAGTAGGGGTTGCATACATATGTGTAGAGCGGTCGCAGACGCCCCAGAAATGAAACAAACGCGACCAGAGGCGCGGCTACATATGATAACGTGTAGGTAACGGGCGACAGAAGGAAGCGCAGAAGAGAAAAGAGCTGCACCAAAGGCCAAGCAGCCGCCAAGGCAACAACGGAGAACAGCCAGACCAACGCGCTCCCGACATAGCGGGCAGCTTGTAATGTGGTTGAAAACACGCCGGCAGAGAGGCCGAGCAGCAGTCGGCCCGCTCCTTTGGTCGTTCCGTAGTAGGAGAATGCAGAGGAAGTAACATTAGCCAGCTGCGGCGGCGGCGCAATTGGAAGCCTGGAGGCCGACATGTTGGTCTAGGCGGCAGAAGGCAGGGATGAAGGCTGGTGTAGAGGAGGTTCAAGCCGCGGATGCGCAAGCTGGCGTGGTAATAATGGATTGTTGTGAAAGTCTCAGTGTGCTTCTGTATGTGGTATTATGTGTGGCATGCCGGCGGCTGTTGCTGTATCGGGTGCAGGGAGCATGTTGTCAAGCCGCTGACGTCGTCTGAAGTTGTGAGGCTAAAGCTGGGACTGTCAGATGCCAGACGATGGATGGCATTACGTCGTTGGGTCGCCGTCGCGTGCGACTGTCGGAAAAAGTGGGTCCTGTTTAGAACCCGGAAAGAGCTCTCCCTGCCGAAATACAGCGCTCTGTGTACAATCTACAGGGCTGAACTTCAACCGTAGCCTGACCACGCTGCGAACCCGTGAGGAATCATGCATGTGTTGATATTCAGAAGATACCGTCACAGTGCAATAGGTACCGTTATAAAAGGGGAAAAGCTCCATACGAAGCACCAAACACACTGCTAAATTACGTGTAACCAAGCAATGCCACCTCACAATGTGAAAGGGCACGCAGTCAAAGCATAATGCTGGTCGGAAAAACCTCTCAATCATGAAGATAATATACAAATAACATCTCAACTCGAGCATATTTGTACAATGGTTATTCGCAGCTTTGGGGAACCGAACCGAACCTTCGCTCAGTTGCGTGGCATTTCTTCTTAGGTGCGTGTTCTTGGTCGCCACTGCCTCGTCCGCCGCACCTGCCGTCGCCAGTTGACAGACCAATGTGGGGCACAACGCCGGCAACCGCTCTTGCCCCCATTTGCCCTTTGGCCTTTTCTTATCGAGTCCTCTTGCCCCGTCTTTCCCTCCTCCGTGCTGACACCTGCGACGAAACTGGATGCACCAAACACGACCGACCTCGCACAGCTCGAAAAGACGGCACGCAGCAATCCACCGCCACGAACCAGCGGGCCACAGGACACTGCCATCGCGCTTCCGTATTTTGTCCATTTCGATCGTCTGAATTCAAGGGGCCCGATTCTGGTCCCGCCGCTGCCCAGTTGCCGCCGCCAGCCGATTCCATTCGTCGGCCCTTCTCTACACGACAAACCGAACAACTCGCGCAACTGGAACAAACTCGGATCACCAAGGCCCAGCATAGAAGCATACAGAGCGCTACTCGCACAGGGGCGCACCGTCTCGCCTCAGATAGGTCCACCACCTGCTGGGGCCACCGGGCCGTTCTGAGACCGTCCAACTGCAGTGGCCTTTTTTCGCACCTTTCGTCCATATTCTTCCAGATTTGCTCGTTTCCATCCCCCCGTCTTGCTAGGACCAACGTGCTGTCTGCGCTTTTCTTATCCCTCCCCACCTGCAGCATTCCAGACTGTGCGCTGTGCAGCTCTGAATAGCCTGGCTCCGCAAACGTGCGCCCCCCTCTCTACTCGAGCAACGGGACCACTCCTCTTCTAGCACGTCTTGCCAATAGCGCACCCACGCACACCTGCGTTGCACACCTGCATTGCACACCTGCGTTGCACACACCCTTGCTACCTATCCTCCTGACGGATACACCCACCATACTACGACAAAAGTGCGTCCGTAGACCGTCCATTTTATATCAGTATGGGAAACAACGCCTCGTCCCCCAAGGCACCTGGCACGCCTGGACACGACGGGAACAATATCAGCAGCGGTCGTCCTGTGCAGTACCACCAGCAGCTTCAACAACAGCAATATCAGCAGCAGCAGCAGCAACAGAAGGGAACCCGGAATCCCGTTCAAGTCCAGAACCAGCGCGTCGCGGCACCTCCCGAGCCGTCTATGGCCCATGCCCAAGGTTCTACTGCATCGTCGGCCTCACGCTCTATCCCGTCCCGGCCCTACAGCACCGCAGCAGAGGCAGCCGCCGCTGCGTCCGCCTCGCCGTCCCGCCAGACCCCCAAGTCCAGCAACACGCCACCTCCGCCGTCCAAGCCCGTCGCCGTGCCTCTGCCCGTGTCCGTTCCGGCAGCCGGCAGCGGCACAGCCAAGATCCCAGCAGCACCACCGGCCAACGCTATTGTACCGAGTGCATCCGGTGGCGTCCAAGTACCGGAAGGCCACAGCGACTACGAGCCACCTCTGAGCCCTTACGCCGACAGCATGGACGTGCCCATCTTGGCACACAACAGCATGCCGGACGTATCGTACCTGACGCGGCCACCGCGCCTGCCGCTGCCCATCGAGGAGGAGGTGCACACGCCCGGCTCGCCCATCATTGCGCCGCGCAAGGACGGCGACCCGGTGGACGACATTGAAGCGCTCGACAACGACGGCCTGACCCAGCGGTCGTCTACGCTCAGCTCGGCCACCATCGAGGAAGAGGACATGGAGGAGCTGCGCGTGGACAAGACACGGCCCACGGTGCCCACGCGTCTGGAGTGGCTGCGGGGCGGTGAGAAGGTCTACGTCACCGGCACCATTTTCCAATGGAACAAGAAGCAGCGCATGCATCCAGTGTAAGTCGACAGCATGTGTATATTGCGTCTGCCAAGGGCCTCATGGACTAACAAAGGTAACGTAACAGCGAAGGGCGGCCTGGTGTGTTTGCGACGACGATTAATGTTCTTCCTGGCACACACCACATCCGCTTCCTGGTCGACAATCAGATTGAAACATCGCGGGACCTGCCAACAACGGTGGATTTCGGCAACAATCTCGTCAACTACATCGAAGTAGCACCACAGAGCACACCACCCAAGGACCAGCGGGGCGTGCCCCCACCGGCGTCATCCTCGTCCTCTGCTTCAGCCTCCGCTTCTGTCTCTGCCTCTACATCTGGTTCGTCGAGGGGTGCACCTTCCAGTGCCACCGGCGCGGGCCAGGCCGGCGCGGCCGTCTCGAAGCAGCACCAGGAGCATCAGAAGCAGCGTCAACAGCAGCAGCAGGCCGCACATGCACACCAAGCACAGGCGCCCAAGTCGACGGCCCAGCTGATCGGCGCCGATTCGTCTGTTGAGCTGACAGACCGCGCGCCCAAATGGAAGAACCTGCCCGAGCCGTCGGCCTTTTCGCACGAGCTGCCCAAGTTCCTGGTCGACTACGACCAGCCAGACGATTCGCCCGACTTCCACACTGCGGCAGCGGCGACGGAAATTCTGCCTATGCCGCCGAGTCTGCCTGGTTTCCTGGGCAAGCCAATTCTCAACGCTGCCACGCTCATTAAGGACGACAACAGCGTCTTGAACATGCCCAACTACACGATCCTGAACCATCTGGCCACGAGCAGCATCAAGAATAACATTCTGGCCGTGTCTGCGACGACGCGTTACAAGGACAAGGTGAGCACGGCGTCGAGTGCAAACTAAGCGTATTGTGAGACGAACATGCAACCAATACTAACACGCATAGTTCACTACGATCATCATCTACAAGCCGACCGGAGGTGACGACATCAAGCGCTGAGTGTACATGATGTAGGAGGCGTCCCGTCATTTGTAAAGCTATGTACTGTGCTGCCTGTTGTATGTTCGACGCGAGTATCGCCCCTTCAGTTTTTGTTCTGTCGGGTCTTGATTTCCTCAATTTAGTTATATACCTGCTTTTATAATCGTCGTTGGTGTACAGTGTACCTCTTTATCGTATATGGAAGGCGGATTTGGGTTCACAAGATAAACCGGATTTCAATACTATGGCATTCCATTACGTACACAGAAAGCAGTCGTGAATTCATATACGTCATCGCGACGGGAATAAAACCATCAGTGGAAGTAGACCAACTCCTTTTCGAACTCCATGAATATCGTCAAACGCCATGCTAGTCTCGCCGCCATGCTACGAGCACCTCGTCCGTCCGGAATCGTTGTGTGCACGAGCTGTCCACCAACGGCGTCTCAAAGCCCGTCTCGTGCGCAAGCAGACCGGCGTGCGCAATCATGATGCCGTTGTCGATGCAGAACCGCTCGTCCGTCGCATATACACTGCCGCCGCGCTCGGCCGCCATCTGGCCCATCATCGCCTGCAGGCGCTCGTTGCAGCCCACGCCGCCGACAATCAGCACCTGGTTGCTGCCGACGTGCGCCATGGCCCGCTCGGTGATCTCGACGAGCATCGCATACACCGTTTCTTGCAAACTGAAGCACAGGTCTTCCGGGGTAATCAGGTTCTTGCCGTCCGGCGCCAAGCGGCCTGCGCGCATGTGGGCGGCCCATTCGTCGGCACGCGTCAGCACGCCCGAGAACGAGCAGTCCATGCCCTTGACGGCGTACGGGAGATCGAGCAGCAGCGGTTCACGCTCCGGTTCGCTTGCCGTGTCGTTCCTTTGCCCTGTGTTCCCCTCGTCGTCGTCCGTCTCCCGCCACTTCTTGTTGCGAAACGGGCCCTTGGCCAGCTGCTCAATGTTGTAGCCCGGCGCCGGGTCATTGGACAGCCTCAGCGTGCGCGCAAACCGGTCCAGACAGTTGCCCACGGCCACGTCGAGCGTCTCACCAAAAATGCGGTACCGCCGCCCCGCGTACGCAATGACTTGCGAGTTGCCGCCGGACACGTACAGCACCACAGGATGTGTGGCGCCTGTCACGGCACGGCCCATTTCAATGTGGCCCACGCAGTGGTTGACCCCGACCAGCGGCTTCCGCCAGAGCAGGGCCAAGGTGCGCGCACCCACGGCCGTCGCCGAGAGTGGTGCACCCATGCCGGGGCCTCGGGTGTAGCAGACGCAGTCAATCTGGTCTGGGCGGATGCCGGCGTCGGCGAGTGCCCGGCGGGCCACCTTGACAAACATGTTGCGGTGGTGGGCGGCAGTCTCCCGAGGCAGGAAACCCGTGCCGGGCGGGCTCACAAAGGTGTCGCGCACATTGGACAGGACAATGGCCGCATCGTCTTGGCCCTCGAGCCCCTGCACCGGGTTGCCGCCGCTGTCGACGGGGTGCGCAATGACGCCGATGCCGAGCTTGTTGGCGGACCCTTCGCAACCAATGGCAATGCGGTACCGTCGCTTAGGGTCGAGACGGCTGGCTGCCATGGTGTGTGAGTCGTGGCGTTCACCAGTTTTTGTCCAAGAGCCTGTGAGACGTGACAGTTTGTCCTGCAGTCGGCGCGGCGAGATGCGGCCGTTGTTTCCTGAACCTTCTCTCTCAATCTCAAATATTCCGCTGAAGCTCTCCCGCCGAATGTAAACAAATTTGTTGTTAAAATCAGCTGCTTTGAATTGCCGTAATCGTGAGTCTGTGGCAGAGAGAGGCTGTGACGTTGATGAGAGGACGTTCGAAGGCACGCTTAACAGCATATAAAATTCGAGACATGCAGCTATCCGGCTGAATCGAGGGGCAAAGCTCAGCAGCCGAATACAACGGTCGTTACCTGGCTTGAGTGAATATATCTGCTGGAGGTGCGGATTCTGCCGCTCCTCGCCGCCTATATTTGCCATGGAAAGGGACTGTCGTCAAAAAGGGTCTTTGGAGCAAAATGGCACAACAGACCAAAAGAGATGCCCAGTGGAAGTAGCCCCACTTTGGCCCGTCTTAGCTCTTTCCCTGGCCCGGCTCTGGCGACATCAGCGGGTCCATATGGACCGCCTTCTTGCATTTCTGCCTTTTATTTTGCGCTTCCTTTTTTGCCCTCCCACCATTATTATTTTCAATTTGTTTCCCTCTTCCACTCGTCATTCGGTCATTTTGATTGTTTGGGCCTCATTCTCTCCGCCTCCAACGTCAGCTTCCTGCTCCTCACCTGCCTATTCTGCTCTCCGTGTCTTGTACCTGCGCCCTCTTTCTCTCAAACTCTGTCGACTTCTCGACTTCTCCCCTCTTCTACCTGTTCTTCTCGTCTTCACTGTCCTGTCTCCGATCATACTCGTTCTTCTCCCCCGCCTTCTTCCGTTCATCATACCGTAACTGTCAGCCATTGCCGGCTCGATTCTTTACAAACAACGCAGCATGACACCTTGAGTCCCGGAAGAGTAAGGACGTCTCCTCGATATCGCGACCTTCTCTCGAAAGCCGCCTTAGGCAGCGATGGCACCGTGGCTCTCCCGACCATCGTCGTGACGTTGCCAGGTAAGACCTCTTTCAGTCACTGGTCACTTGCCTCCTCCCCAACTGGCCAGTCACGTTGGGCTTTTTCAGATGAGTCTGTGCGAAAAGTCTTCTTATTTTAATATTTTTTGTACATGCCCCCACCAAAGACTTGGCCGGCAGCTTTCTATTATATTCGTGTCATCGTCGCCATCACCAGCTCCTATCCCATATATGCGGGGGAAAATGAAACAAAACGCTAACTAAGTATACAGATATTCCCATTTGGGCCCGACCGCCTGAACACCGCGCAGAGCCTCCTTTTGCGAAAGGAAGGAAACCCAAAAGTAAAGGAAGAGAAAGAAGCAGAAAGACAAAGTGCGCGCCGGCCCAAAAAGAAAAGATGATCGCAGAAGAACGACAGGAGAGTCGAGAATGAGATGTACACGCCCGCCAGCACCGAAATCGACTCGGGCAAGCGGACCTAAAATGGGGAGAGAATGAGAAATCAAGAGGACGCAGTGGCCTGGGCTGCAGACGCTGCTCCGGGTTGTGCTGCGTGCGGGCGTTGCTGGATTGTTTGCCTTGCCCCTGGTGGTACGCCATTCGTCCTTTGCCCTGCGTTGGGTTGGGCGTCTGGCCGACGCAACGGGTACGGGAGAGAGAATGGGAGAGACGCACGGAACTTGAGCGCCTGGATGCTGTACGGATCAACCTCATACACGTCCGGCTCATCCTCGCTGTCGTCATGGTCGTACTTCCAACGATCGGGGGTTGAGTCGACCTCCATGTCCACAGAATGGCTCTCAAACTGACCGGGCGTCTCCGGAGGTGGAGTGACCATAATCCTCCTCCGGTCGATCCACAGCCGGTTGAGACGACCAATGCGGCGCCGGAACTGGTGTCCGGGGGGTTGTGCTTGGCCATACGGCGGCGTCGACACACCCTTGAACGTGAATACGGCAGCTGACTCCGGCTCATCAAGCTCCATCGGCACGGGTTCGTCCTCTTGAGACGTCTCGGAAGCCGGTGGAGTCATCAAATACTGGGTCGTGGCAGGGCGGAAACCAGCGCCCTCATTACGGTCCTTGAGCGGCTTAAGAGGTTCGCTGGTCAGGTCAACGTGGTTCTCGTTCCACCGGCGGTGGTTCTCGATCCTCTTGATGACGTCTGCGCGCAGTTCGTTCTCTCTCTCCACAAGCGAATCAGCCAATAGGACGAGGTCCATTTCTGGCTGCCGGTTGTCTGGGCGCGTGGCTGCGCGTACTTGCGCTGCGGCGGCATTGCGCTGTGCAACCGACAAATCGGGCGCCTTCTTCTTTTGAGGCTGCAGCTGGGTTAGCGACATGCGCACGTGGGGTACTATAAGGGACAATGGGCGGTAGAGGGCTTACCTTTTGGTGGACTAGATCCTCGTCGTCGGTCCGGATCCCCAACCGGACCTTCATGAGCTTCAACTTCGCCCTCTGCTCGTATACGGCGCGGTCTGTGAGCAACAGGTCGCGTTTGAGGACTTCACGCTCGTGCGACAGGATGACAAGTTGTCGGCCGTCCTCGAGTTCGCGCCGCAGCTTTTTGAGCTTGTCGGCACTCTGGAGATCGCGCGCGCGCGTCTTGCGTGTTTGCCGCACCTCACGCCGGCGGAAACAGACAAAGGGATCCATCTCATCTGTCTCTTGGTGTGTCTCGAACTTGAGAGACGGGTGCAGCGGCCCGCCCACGTCGATGCGCCGTGACTTCCAGAATTCATAAATGTCCTTGGCGTGGTTCATAACTTTGGGCAGCTGCAGCTCATGAAGGCCGCCGACCATGTGGTCGTAGGGCACAATGGTCTTGTCCACCGACGCAAACGGCGTTGCGACGGATGCCGTGTCCTCAAAGACCTCCATGATCTGCTCAAAGTCGTCCTCGGAGAGCTGTTGGCTGGCGGGCTTCTTCTTGTTGTAACCCTTTAGAAACTCGTCGTCCTCCTCCGTCATGTCATACTGGCAGCCGATGCATTCTTCTACCGTTTGCGAAAATCGGATGTAGTTGACCGGTTGCTGGAACTTTCGGGCATATAGCGCATCATAGTTGATGTCGCTCTCCATAGGCGGCGGTACGGGGATCTCCTTGACGGCCGCCGAAGACGTGCCCTGCAGGGCGACCTGCAAATGGTATTCCTGTCGTGGCGAGCATGGTCAGTGGCCGGGTCCGCTAAAGGCGAATAAAAGCAAAAAATGGGCAAGAAAAAACGATGCGACGGCGACGTGGCGACGACACCATTGTGGTAGCTGTCGCATCTTGCCGCATGCATCGCGGACGTAGTCATGTGTGTTGTCACGTGCGAGGCACGTGATAATGTCACAGAGCGTGCAGGGCGACGATGCGAAAAGCATTAGAAACGGGGCGGAAAGGGAATCAAACGCGATGCGATTTCATCGGAAATCATTTACTTACATTTTCTTCGCCTTGCTCGACACCCGTCGCGATTTGTGTCTCGGTGGTGAGGGCTTCATATTCGCTGGGGTCGACCTGATCCTCACGCAAAACAGGCAGTGCCGTTTTTATGCTGAGTTTCTTGTATCGGACTTTCCGGGTTGCCATGGCTGCGGATGAGGGCCAGCAAAGGCCTCAACGACAAAATGACGGCGAAATGGGCACCAAGCCCGCGGAAAATCCGCTTAAAAATTCGATGGGGATTTGGAGGGCAACATGCGACACAAAGTGGTCGATTTTTTTCGATTGATTTCCGAAGTTTTGGACGTGTTTTGATGCCGCAAAGATTGCTGCTCCGAAAAGTCGACTGTCGTGGGAGGCTGCAGCGGAAGAGGTTTTTTGGGCTGGTTGGTGGTAGTGGGAGGTGTTGTCTTTCGCAGAGCCAAAACACGAGAAAAATTTTCCCTCGTTGCGTGTTTTCGCCTGCCCGCGGGGAAAAAAGGGGGAAAGAGACCGGGCGGTAGGCGGGCGACCACTAACTGGACAGTGGGAAATTAACTGAATTCCCCCCAATGCACAGTAAATAGCAACAAAGTGACAGGGAGTAGCTTTTGAAAGGGGCAAGGCTCCTGCCCTGTTTAGCCTAACGCTCTCGCCAGCGCCCATCCCTCCCTGTTCGTCTTCCAGGCGCTGCAGAGACAAGCGGACGGAGAATTTTTGCGGGTGCTAAAGGTGATATGGTTATCAGCAAAATACAGTACGGCCTCTCACTGACTTCATACCAATTGCGTCACGTGTTTGCCTTCAAAAACGAATCGATGGGAAGCAACCACTCACTCCGTTGTACAAGCTATTCTGTCACGGTTGTTATGTATGCAACTTGAGGTGATTTCACGATATGTAAATGGCTGTCTTTTATTCGATTCATAAATACAGAAGTAGATGAATATGTTCTATGACAAGGCCAATATGTTGGGTGTCAAGTAATTACCAATTTCGTACCTTCTGTTTTGTCACGTGATGAAATTCAATTAGCAAGGCCCCAACAGAAGCACGTGCAGCCTTCAAAGCTAACTTACCCCACTAAATGTTTACAACTTGTCTGAGGCGGTTGGAGGTCCCTCGCCCCCTTTATGTTCTTTGTCTTACAGCCTTACCAACCCAAACTAGACCTCCCCACGAACGACGTCGTTGACCACAGTGCACGCACAAAGAGTACGACGCTGGCGATTATCGAAACGGCACGACTTACAAGCGAACCTCTTTCACCTGGAACCCACCTCATTGCCAGACTTTAAAGTCAAAGAGCGGGAAGACGACCTAAAGACCAGGAACGAAGCTGGGCAGCCAGTACGCGTGAACGACCCTGATCAACCGGACGACAAAGGAGAAACAAAACAGCGGCCTGACACAGGTACGGCAACGACTCGACCGGCCTACTCATACGACACAAAGGAGCACCAACTGTATTTCGACGACTTCGACCTTGACCACAGCAAACCACCCGACAACACAGGCGCATCATGGGAAACACAACAAGTGCGGTCCTGGACCAAATTGTCCAGACCACCAACTGTGGGTGGCAACAGCGCCGACTCCCTTTCTTGTCTTGTGGACAGCCGACACGATAGCTGACACGAGAAACTTACAGTCGATCGCGATGAGGTGGAGCGCCTACGAAAGCGGTTTATGAAGCTGGACAAGGTGCGTGGTGGTCACACGTCTCTTTTACACTCGCGGTGACACACTGGTCGTGCTTTGAGACCTAGGCAGGGAACTCTTGTGCTGACGTAGCTCCTCCAGGACAACTCCGGAACGATAGAGCGCGACGAGTTTCTGAGCCTGCCACAGATCGCCTCGAATCCACTAGCAACAAGGTACGAACGAGAAGAGGAGACGGAGCATATGACCGGAGAGCGCACGAGGGATGGGGAGCATGGGAGCCGTAGAATGGGCACGCCATGCGGCTCTTGCAAAAGAAAGAAACAAAGGAGAAAATGTGGGCTAACGTCATTTTCCCCCGCCAGGATGATCGCCATCTTCGACGAGGACGGTGGAGGCACAGTCGATTTCCAGGAGTTTGTTGCCGGCCTAAGCGCGTTCTCTTCCAAGGGCAACAAGGAGCAGAAGCTGCGATTTGCGTTCAAGGTCTACGACATTGACCGCGATGGTTATATCAGCAACGGTGAGCTGTTCGTGGTGCTCAAGATGATGGTCGGCAACAACCTCAAAGACCAGCAGCTGCAGCAGATTGTCGACAAGACGATCATGGAGGCCGATCTCGACCAGGACGGCAAGATCAGCTTCGAGGAGTTCACCAAAATGGTCGAGAACACGGACGTCAGCATAAGCATGACGCTTGGTAAGTACTTCTTGTGCCCTGCACATGACCTCAATCCGTTGTATTGTCCTATTGACCCTTTGCAGACCAGTTTTAATCCCATCTCGTTTGGTTGCTCTGCACACTCCTCGATTCGGCGGTTTTGCGTCTCTCGCATTAATCGACAGGCATACTGGGTATGTCAGTAACAGCGGCTCTGCACAAAGGGAACGGCATTTCATTCAAGATGCATCCTCTTTTGATGTGTTTACGAGGGCATGCGAATGCAATAGACAATTTTGTATTCTGTTTGGCATTTCTTATTTCGTTTCTTGTCATGTCTGGGTCTATTTATGCTACTGATGAATGAGCTGATGATGAAAAAAACACCATATTTCTAAATTTATTACTTCCTCAATAACGATTTTCACAAGGCAGGAAGTGTCGATTTGTGCTAAAAACTATAACGGGCACATACTCTGTCGGCTGTATGGCCCAGCAAAGACCCTGGATAAAATTGTATTTCAATACGCAGTCATGGAACGTTGTTCTCTAGAGTTCTTGGACCTACCAAGGTCAAATGGTCTATCATTGAGGGTTAATTGCATCTTGTTGGTGCTTTTCTCGTCTACGTTGATTTGACACCAGAAGAAGTCATTTCCGTGTGTTCATTTTCATGTACTCATTTTTGAACTGCTGTTAATCGTTGAAATATTTTGTATTTTGTTTATTTCAATTTTCTGTATTATTGTTGTGATTATTATTTTATTTTCTTAAGAAACTAAAGCATTGGAAAATGAGAAAAAAAAAAATCTAAAAAGAAACTCGCTGTTTCATCCACAATTTGTCATTTTTCTGTGTTCCGATTTAAAGTAAAATGCCATATGAAAGCCTGTGTGCCTGTGTGGCGGTGAAATTTTGCGCTACTAACCACCAAGAAAATGTTTGTTTACTTTACCCCTTCTGCCCCTCAAATCTGTCACATCACTAAACCATACCGCAGAGACATCGAGATTCTCTCACTCGTCCTCTACCCAATTGAATAATTTAATGAGCTCTATCAAGTATGATGCAGCTTAAAGTTCGGCCCACAGTCCTTATTGGTTTGTCGCTATTATTGGTTGCTTTCCCTTTCGAGGCTGTTCAGTCGGTGTCGCTCTCAAGTCCGTCGTAGGCAATTCAGATAGAGCCAAACCCCATGGAGTTTACCAAGAGATAATTTCACTTTTTCGTCCGAACAGGATGGCAGGATTAGCTACTCATCTGTAGCTCGCTGCAGGCTCAGGGCTAATTTGAAGGGCAATATTGACGCGAAAGTGTTGCGTAACTCATCCATCTCGAAAGCATGATATTGACACGACAAAGTAGAGACAATCCAGGGGATTTGGCTGAAGAATGGGCTATAGATAGACTAGACTGTGGCGTCAATATGGAAGCCTCTGTACCCAGTCGGTCGATTGCCTACTTGACGCCCGTGCGTCGTTTCCTCTTAGTATTGATCCTTCTGCTCTAAATGTACGATTGTGCGTTACTACGTCGTACCCAGTACGACATATGTGAATCAGCGGGCTCCATACAAGATGGCTGGTATTGTACCAAGACTGGGGTTCCTTGTGGAGGAAGGAGACGGAAAAGCGTAGAAAGTAAACCCGCTCAAAAGAGGAGCACTGCTCTGAAGAATACTCGAAAAGTGCACAAACTGCGATACTCTCACCGTGAGCATCCAAAAACGCGACGAGGTGATTATTTCTTTCCACTTTGATACTTCTTTTACGTCAGAAAAAGAAATGGCGGTTGTTTGGAATGGATTCGAGGTAAAATTAACGACACATGAATCATAGTGGGTAAGTTTGATCATGGCTGCAACGAGCTTGAACGAAGGAAGGAGCAAACGCGTTGGCAGGGTACGGGGGCGAAGGGCTGAAGCGAGGAGCGGACCCACTCAGAAAGCGCGCGCCGTCCCGAGAGGGCGAACCAGCTAGCTGGGTCAGCCTGGAGAAAGAGGGGAGCGCGTTTGCCGCGGTCCGGTATGATATATGACAGGCCATTTCGTTGATCTCCCACAACCCCTTTTCCTCCCTTCCACTCTTGTCCACCTGTTTCACAACACATTGTCGGACATAGACCTGCAGGCTGCCGAGCGGGGCTTGGGCATGGGCATGGCAGGAAATCGCAAGCCAAAAGGATTGCTCTCGCGCTCGCGATGAACTTATTTCCTAAGCGAAAGCTCGAAAGCCAATAAAAACAGGACCAAGAAAAGAACGAGAAAGAAATCACTGCGACAGTGGACCGGGGACAGAACATAAATAGCCCCAAGACAGGGGCAAGGGCCACCAATTCCTTCGGCCGACTCAAGAGTGCCCGCTTATTGTCTTCATTACGACGTATACCAGATGGAACCAAAATAGAAATAAGAAAAGAGACGGTGGAAGCAAATGAGCTTCTACAACGCTCGTGGGCTTTTGGCAGGGGCGCCGAGGTCCCCTTTTACAGAGTAATCACTATGCAAAGGACACGACCTTGGTTTGCCAAGGAATGTCTCGTTAACGATCTGGGCACCCTTTTTTAACGGTATGTATTTACATTGAATACGCCTTGTACATATGTAAAATGCCTAGGCAGTTTATATACTGCGAATTGACTATAAGCCGAGTTCTAAAGAGTTTTCAAAGCAGCCCCAGCCCGAATCCGAAACACCATTATTCAAGTCCTCACGCCCTTGGCCTGCCGCTCATGTACCTTAATTGCGTATACCATTCCCTATGAACACCAAACCCCGTGAGGGGACCTTCTCTATTATGTATTTTTAGACACGTAGCCGGCCAGCCGGCTGCGACCTGTATGCCCTCAGATCTCCAAAATGAAAATATCATAAAAACAATAAATCCTCCTAATCGATATCACATAGCAAGAACATACCCCTTGTAATAAACACCAGAAAAGCAAGACTCAAACGAAGAAAGAAATGAGGAGTGATGATGCGTTTCCGAAATAGGAACGATTATAGACTCAGCGAGACTTGAGTGTCGGTGAACGCCGAATTATGGAGGTGGAGGGGCGGAAGTCGGTTATCGACTAGAAATCGGCGCTGGAAATTATAATGTTGTCGCAAATCGAGATACTGCGTTCGCAGTTTGATAGTCTAGCCTTGTTGTGAACTCGGTCCGCTCGTGGCGCCGGTAGCGTCTTCTTCTGCCATTCTGTATAGTTCGACACATTCGGTAAGGACTGGGTGGTTAGATAGGATTTTGGGAGAATGTGGTAAGTGTGTGTTGACAATGGCGACTTACTAGCCATAATGCGCTCTTCCCACACGCCGTAGTCGTAGTCGACAAGGCCAAAGCGTTCAATACCGTCACAAAGGCGAACCAGCTCCCGAGCCATTTTCTGGAGATCTTCAAACGATACAAGACTTTGGGAACGATGCAACTTCTTCCCATACCACATCATCTCCTTTTGCTTTTCGAGAAGGCCAAGCCACGCATTGTTGAAGTTTTTCCAAAGCTTGACACGACCTTCGTATAGATCTTCGTCGTCGGAGGCCAAGCCTGTACCGCCATTGTTAGTTTCATAACACATTCATCTGTACTTGTACCGCATGCAGCTGCAGAGTAAAGAACGCACCCAATGATTCTACCCTTGACAGCAGCCAGTCTGAGATGCTCAAGAGCGATTCAGAAGCTGGTGCCAAAGAACCGCTTTTTGTATTTTTAAAAACATCTTTTAATGTTCGTTGGTATGCGGTGTACGACTCGTTTGTCTCGGCGTAATCTTGCGAACTAGGTGCTGCTACAGCGGAACCCGACGAGGCTCCCGGATCTGTGCTGGAAGTGGGCTGCGAACTGGTTGCGCTCGGGAGTGGAACCATGCCCGCTCCATATGCTGCCGCCACATGTCCTCGACTATCGGCTGCGCCTTGGTGTTGGTAGACTGCAGCCGCAGAACCACCGTGTGCGGCTTGTGTATGAAGAGAAACGGCGCCAGAGGTTGCAGAATCGCTGGTGTAGTAGGCAGGAGTTGTGACGTCGGGGGCTATTATTTGCATGCCTCCACCTTGCTGTCGGGAAGAATACGCCTGTGTTGTGTCGAAGACTGCGCCTTGTCCAGCTGCTGGCTGGACACCATACAACAATTGAGGGCCGGATGGGTTGTACGTATTTGCAAAGCCGTGCGCCTGTCTTGCGTCTTGGGCGTAGTCCGTCGATTGTTCGGAGTAGGCCATGGCACCATGACCTGCGGCATAGGCGCTTTCTGGGGCCTCTTGGTAGTATCCACTGTACCCTGCAGCTCCGCTGCTGCTGCTCATTACTCGATTCCCTGACGGCATTCTCTGACGATCGCTGCTGGACGAGCCGGACTGGTGATATTGTCGTTGTTGCGAGTCATCTTGGGCTTGCTGCTGATATCGTGGGTCTGATGGTGGACGCAGGGGATTCTCATGTTGTTTACGCCGGCGGTAAATGTCGTCCATGGCCCCTCAAACCGTGGCTAGAGAGCGACGGTTGACGACGAGATTCTCGATCAGAAGAGCAATATGTCCGGAACACTCAAGTAGAAAAGTTTCAACTTTGTGATTTAGGTGTTGAAGGTGTTGAAGCAGCCACCGCTGTTTGTAGAGAACTACCTGACCGTCTTCTGTAGGAAGCCGAATTGGGTAGTGATTGGTAATTTTGTGCACTCTAGATGTAGCCTAGTTTTCGAAAGATGACCGCGGGTTAGACTCTGAATGCTATTGAGGAAGCGGAGGGCATGCGAGGTATTGATAAGGAAGTGACTGGGAAGAAACGCATTCTACTAAAACGAGACTGCTCGTCTTATACTCTGAAATGGGATAGAAGGTAGGGAAAGTTAGAGGAAAATTCCGGGCCAAGTAAGGGAGTGGACGCAAATACAACTTCCGCCACATTAGCCCTGACGGTGTTCTGCCCCACGTTAATAGAAAGGAAGAAAAGCCGCAGCCCGCAAACGACAAGCTGCAACGGCGGAAAATAAACCGTATAGGACACACAGATTGGAATGAATCCCGTCCAGACCAAGGTATATCGTAAGTAGTCAGAGACGTGGCCAGTCCGCAAAAGGGAAGTTTACGGGCTGGGGAAGACAAAATCAAATCAAAGGAGGACGGACCCAGCCAACATGATGGGAACACGGATGTAATAAACACGGCGACAGTGTAACGAAGTAGGTAAGGATGTCTCATAGGGTGGCAGGCGACAGTATCAACGAAGAGGGAGCAAATATATCATAAGAGTGGATCAGGCTCGATGGTGGTAGGGGTGTTGGAGGCTGGGGATAGATTTGTTCTGGTACAAAGGTGGTCGACGGCCGTGTGAGAAAAGACAGGATGGTGGGGACGGACGGGAGCGATGACGGCAGGAGAAACAGGAAACACAGAGAGGACGAGCTTACCTTTGGTATGGCGGGCTAGTCGTGGAAAATGGAGGGGGCGGAGAAGGAGAAACGACGGATTTTCGTGTCGTGTTCTGAGCAGATTAAGCGTCTTGTGGGGGACAGTGATGGAGATGCACGGCCAGGAAGAGATGCTGACGATCCGAAAAGAGCTGAAGATGGAGGCGGCGAGAATGACGTGGTAGTTTTATAGGGCATGTATGGTGGAATATTCAAAACCTGCAAGTGGAAAGCGATATCGCAGTGAGTATATGGCAGATGGCGTAGAATATTTGCGAGGCACAGAAATTTCAACTGATGAGACGTTGTTGGATTTGGATGTCGGAAATATGATTGAAAGTGAACACCACTGACATTCAATGATAAGGCTTCCGGCACGGAGGCAGCTGCGTCAACAACTTTGACACCTACGCTCCGTAAAAATCAAATTTTGGGCGAGATCGTGAGTGAAGGAACGGGTCTGCTGAACAAGGCACAAAATCGCAGAGAGTGGCTCGTTGCTTGATCATTAAAAAAGAGGGCTGAGAATTGGTAAGTGTGAGGTGGTTAAATGGCTGATGGAGAAGAAAAGACCCCCGGGCAGTTCTTGCAGGTAGTGCATACACAGTCGACGAGGCTTGGAGGTTTGATTGGGCAAAGAGTTGAAGACACAAGGGTGGGTGCACGGGATACTGCAGCTGGGAAGACCGATCTGGCGAGCATGAGGGAAGTGGAAGAAGAAATCACGGAGGCCTGGGGGAAGGACGTCGTCTTGGCAGGATAGGCAGTTGAGCACTAGCATGCAACGGAAGAATGGCGTGCATACCACCATATTAGTGGCGAGAAGCGGATAGGGGGGTTTTGAGCAGTCAGTCATACAGTAGGGGCTGAAGATCTGTGAACGCGGGCGCGGCCATGCGTCGGGGTAGTTGAATTGGGCCAGGGGTGAGGAATGAAAGAGGGTTGCACAAAGTGAGCTAAAGAAAGTTATTTCTTACATTAGTTTCTTTTTGGGTTTTGGTGAATGGGGCCCTAACGTCTTTTTTTGTTCAGCTCTCCAGACGTTCGCCTGAACGAAAACTATTTTCTAGCCTTTGTTTTGTGAACTCCGTGTGGGTGCGTCCGATACTGACGGGAGTTTACTTGGCTTACTCCCCCGAGACTTCGAAATGGGAGTGGATCAGGTCGACATAGGGACGCGAAGACTCGTCGTTTGTTGGGAGGGATGGCTTTGGGAGGTTGTTGGACGGTGCACCTGGCCGCTGGAATAGTACGTTCTGGAGTTGTGGTGTCAGAAAATGTTGAAGTTGTCGAGGTCAACGTCGGTAAGTAACAGATTTGTGAATATTCAATATCGTGTATAAGGGCTCGGTGCGTCTCGAAATGTGGATAGTGATGCTGCTGGATGTAGTAGGAAGTGGTCCAGCTGGCGCAGCTTCAGCGACTGGTGATGAGGCAACCAGAGCCGAAAATGGACCCAGGACCGTGTGAGATGTCGATAATGATAAGTACGTCACTGTCGACCAGCGCCGGAGTCCGTCAGCGTAGTGTGTGTTCGATGGATATCTAGCAAGTGGCAATCCTGGTGGTCGCGATTCGGAGCGGAGGGAGGCCTCGGTGTGTCGACGACAGGCACAGATGCGGAAGAGTGAGAGAGGTTGAGGTGAAACAGGCGAGTGAGAAAACGAAATACCGCCAGGATCGAGAGACTGCAAGGTAGAAGGCTTCGTTTTTTTCTATCCCCACGGATGGGAGAAAGGAAAGGGACGGATGTTTTAAAGGTAGCCTAGGAAGGTAGTGCGAGAGGCTAACGGGGGCGTGTGACGAACGATCAAAGGCAGTAGCCAGGAATTGCATATGTACTCTCCCCCTTTCATGTGTAAATGGCCCAGTTAGGAAAGAACGATTGTACATTGGTAGATGTTGAGGAAGGTTGTGGGAGCGTTCCTTCCAGAACAGCTTGTGAAATTAGGAAGGCGCAAACGACTCAAGAAATGTATGGGAGTTGGAAGAAAAGTGAAGGAGCACAGCGGAGTGTTTTGATCGTTCTTGCACGAGACTTTTGTGAGGGCAGTAGGCGGTTCGGGGCTCAACTATATGAGCGTCCAATACGAGTTTGGAATTTTGCCGGTGTTTTTTTCACTGCCCGTTACTTTACTTTTTTCTTTTTCTTTTTTTTTTTTGACTGCCGTCCGAAGCACACTCTATCCTCCACACGTCTTATATCGACCGTCGTCTGAGCATACTTGCTGGCAATCGGCTGTGTATAAAGGTGATTTTCCCTTCAGATATTCCGCCCGTGCGCGTGCTTTGTTCTGCGGGCTATATGACCACGTCCACTTGCACCTCAATAATGGGTGCGGTGTCTATGTCGGACAGGTGTTGATGTTCTGTTTTTGCCAATTCTGAAAGATGGATGACACGACAGGCAACAGGGTTGGAAGAAAGAAGCAGGTGGAGGAAGGGGGGGGGGGGGGGAGACTGGGACGGGGGGAGTTAAGAAAGACGGAGGAAAGGTAAACGGGCTCGTGGCAGCTTACTCGGCTACCGCGCCGCCCGTTCGACTATTTGCTTATTTGTTTCTCTGGTGGCCTGGTCCCCCCATGTTGTGTTGTGCATATACGTGATCCGGCAGACAAGGTTTGTCGGGCCGTGGCCGATTCGCTTGGGAGGAGGACGGGTGACGGCACTCACGAAATAAAAGCAAATAAATAAGTAGACACTCACCCACCTTCGTCTGGGGTACGGGTTCGGCCGTTTCCTTGCACAGACGGAAGGGAAGGAGAAGGAGAAAGGAGAGAGGCGGGTGCAGGGCGAGCCTTGGTTATGACGACAGGAACGCGGCTTCTAAATGTTTTATGTGTTGTCAGGGTATGTCGCGATCTTCCTTGGGAGAAGAACGATGGTCGGATCCGGCGAGCGAGTGGAAACTGAGAAGGGATAAACGGACAGGGGTTCGGTGCTAAGGAACGAAAGTAGACAGGATCGGAGGAGGCACAAGCAATCGCCGAGCAAGGGCGACAATGCGAACAACAGAAGTAAAACAAAACCACGAACTCCAGTCGACGAGACGAGAACCAAAGGAACCGTTGCTTCCGTACCGACCAGCCAATGGGGGCAGGCAAAGGCAGGCAAAGGAGCACTGTAAGGCAGAGAATACAACGACAAAAACCGGGAATGGGAAGGGAAGGGTTGAAATGGGGAGGGTGGCGAGCTTGTAGCAAACGATAATAGAAGTGTGATTTGTATGAAATAGCAAGAGCACTACTGCCAAAAGATTTGGGGAGAAACCAAAGGGACAAGACTAGTGGGATGAGAATAGCAGGAATAAGAAACACTGCATTGAAGCAAGGCACGTAAAGGGACAAAAAGAAGAGGATGAGAGAGCGCCGCCAGCCGTTGCTGCCCATCTCACATTACGTCCGCGAACAGGAACGATGGGCACGACTTAGGACAGGGTCATTTTCGGTGGTATTGCTTCTTTTCTTTATTTCCCCTTTAGTCACTTTCCCTTTGTTCCTGTTATGCTGTCAAGGCTTCTTTCTCACCTTCGATTAGACCAGATACGCACTGGCATTGCCACTTGATTTAGTGCGACATCTTTGAGCCCGCGTTGTACCCCTTCTGACGTCCCTGCCACGAGGATCGTATTCTTTTCTCGGCGCACACTGCACGAATAGGGTATTACGGAGCAAGCACCTAGTTCGTAGAGGGCCGAGGACTGCTCAGCAGTGATACCATATTTACCAGACTTTTACACAAACCAAGGTGTTGAGCTTATCCTATCTTGCTCTATTCGATCCAGGCGGTGCTAATCATTGTTTGAGGAGGAGAGTTTCGGACGCTACCTTCATAAGCCCGTTGGTTCACGTGGCATCAGACAAGATTAAATCATATTTCAAAGAGAAGGAAGGTTGC